TTCAGAGCAGAGAGGAAGTAGTAGCCATGAGGAAGACTGTGGTAACTTCTCCACTTGAGCAAAACTCATCACAGCTACCTGAGCGACTCATCTGCCTGCGTTGCAGACGTCAGACCTTACATTCGAAGTACCTGCATCAACCATCTAACCTCTCTGTACCGTGAGGGCTTGCTCAGAAGGTTCCAGAGCTGTTTGTGAGCTTGCGCCAACCCAGTTCCCTGCTTATCTATCCTGAGCTGTTCTGGGATTTCCCATTTTTAATAGTTTCTTTTTAATGTATCAGTTCTCTTTAATTTTTTTCCCCAAAATTTCTCAGTTCAACTCACTGGAATTTTTCCTTTTTTTTTTTTCCAGATCCTGCTGGTTGTCTGCCTTCTGCCTTCTAGCCACCCATACTGTCACTCCTCCACATTGCTTCATAAAGAAACAAATCCAGAAGTCCTGAAGCATCTAGAACTCCACAAAACACACAGATCCTTCAGGCCACGGGAAACTCTACCCAATGCCGACACTGGGAACAGGTGTCCAAAGGAAAGAGAGACTGCCAAACAGATAGCCAGATGGCATGGAGAACATCCCTCCTGGGTCTTACCACAGAAATGGCAATCTGGCCCAGTCATCCCTGTGTACTTCTAGAAACAAAACCAAAAGTTTTGAAACAGGGTTTCATGTAGCCCAGGCTGCCCTTGAACTCAATATGTAGCTGAGGATGACCTGGTTCTCCTGCCTCCCCATCCTGATGTTGGGGTTTCAGGAATGCACTACCGGTTTGGCTTTTAGTGCTGGGACGGAACACAGGGATTCGCGCATCTAGACAAGCATGCCACCTACTGCATCATCAACCACCCGGAAATGTATGTTGGTTTGAAACTTCAGGGGAATACAGACCAATCAGGTAGGGGGAGCCTGGGTGGCTGGGTGGAGTTCCTCACCAGCCCTGAGGGCCCAAGGGTGAAGGGGGCCTCTCAAGTTGCTGAGAGCAAGGAGAGGAACTGAGGTTTGTGAGCACTGTGGCTTGTCTGTTTCCTGTTTCATCAGGCTGCTGTGCATAAAGAAAGCTGCTACAAGAGGAGAATGGTGAGGGGGCTCGGAACATCTGGTTGACCGCTTCCCTGGTCATCTGAAACCGGAGAGACCCAGAAAGGGCCGGAGGCTCTCCTGAGACACTTGAAACAGGACCTGGGACCCGAGGTAATGGTGGAGGAGAACGCTTTGGGAATCTAGGTTTGGGTCTGTTGGCTTTGGGGTGGGGCAGAAGTTGCTCTGCCATGCCAGCCTCCTGCACAGCAGCAGGTGTAGGATTTAGATGCTGGGACTTGTGTGACTGAGAAACCATCCTGTGTTGGATTCCTTGGGCAATCACTAGGATACAGCTACCAATTCTGCTCCAACTGTTAGCTTGGATTAGGTGAGAGTCATATGACTTGGTTTTGGGGTGCTCAGCATCCATACCAAGAATTAAATGACCTTTCCTAGATGCTTTTTAAAGCAGGGATCCTTGTAACACTTGTAAAGTGTCCTTCTCCTTCAGCTCTCACTGAGGACTTTGACAAGACACCACCCATCATTTCCTCTGCATACATAGCCAGGAGGTAGGAGCAGGGTTTGGAAAGACGTCGACAAGCCCGTAGGTGAGGGACAGTGCCCTGCTGCCTAGGTAGGGAAGAGAGCCTCCCCTAGCCAGTGCCATCCTTTCCTCCAAAGCTCGAACTGGACCCTCTCATGTTGCCAAGGGGTACCTCAGAGACTCCAGAAAGCCTGGGCAGTGGCCTTATGACCTTTCTCTGAACTACAGGACCGGTTCCTTTTTTCAGCAGCTTGTCACTGCCCATCAGGCTTTCCACAAGCCTTCTCGTGTTGAAGTCAGCCAGTATGATCACACCCTTCCAGAAGGCTGAGTGGTTCCACACAAGTGTCACATCAGATCCCACCATGTGGGGGGGGGGCAGGGCTATGGGTATAGGAAAATCCTCTCTCTCAGGAGCCATTCCTACTGCCACTTCCCTCTTGGTGTTAAGCCCTAATGATGCAGAGAGTAAAGCAGTCGGTGTTTCAGTAGGCCTACAGACAAGCTGGATGTCGAGCAGGAAGAGACATCACCACAGGCCTGCCTCAACCCCACACACCTTCTCTCTTCTCATCCAGAAGGCAGCAGGGTCCTCAACCCAGCGAGCTGACTCCAGTACAAAGCCTATAGTAACCAGGGCCCAACAGGGAGGAAACTAACCCCTCACGTTCACGGCGTGGTGCCCATTCTTCACCCACCTGTTCTTTGCCTTCCTGTCTGGCCTGGTTGAGTTGAGGATTACTTCCAGCACACAGAGCAGTGCTATGTCCTTGTAACCCAACCTCAGAGGCCACAGGGACAAAAGCAGTAAAATTATTCCAAGATGGAGCTACAAGCCCTGTTCAGGACTGAGAGAAAGAATTGGGGGAATCAGAGGGTGAAGTTGAGCATGCTCAGTCCCAGAGTCTGGCTTTGCCTGGGGCATTTGAGTCACAACACCCAGTCATCAGTGTCTAGCACCACTGAGGATAAGAATGATATTCTACATCTATTACTTTTAAAGCCTGTTGTTTACCATATACCATATGCTGGGTGTATGGTGTGGGTGGTGTTGTTGATACTCACATCCCTTCAAGGGAAGTTTTAGCTCCGTTTCATAAATGAGGACCCTGAGGCTCAGCAACACTTGACAGTTTTCCCCTCAGTTTGGTGGGCAGTGACAGCCTAGAAGAGAGTCACAGTCTGGTCCCAAAGCAAGAGTTCCCCTCCTCCAATGAAGACAGAACAGTCAGGTGCGGTGGCTTTGAGGGACATGTGTGTGATCTCAGGTCCCCTCCATCCACTCATTTATCACAGAGCATGCACTGAGGCACATGTGTGTGATCCCAAGTCCTCTCCATCCATCATCCATCCATCCATCCATCCATCCATCCATAACATGTGTGGCCCTTTTGGGTCCTTTACTGTATAATTAGATACACAGAGTGGCATGTGGGAAGTCTAGGGAACTCCACAGAGTGAGAGTGAAGAAACAAGCCTGAGGGAAAGCACTGGATGATACCAAGAGGCCAGACAGCACCTCCCTGGGGTGGGCTCTGCCCAAGGCAGAGGTTGTCCCTCCGTCCTCGAGAGTTAGATAACCAAAAGCATACAGAACTTAGCCACCCAAGGGCCCTCAGAGAGTGAGACTGTCCACCCATAGGCTTGTGAATGAGGACAGTGACCAGAGACAGAGCAGAAGGCCCGTACAGAATTCTATCATGTGCCAGGATAGGCACTGAAGTCCCAAAGAAGCATGGGGCCTCTGCCTGTGGAGTCTGCGCGGCCCTGAGACAAGCCTCAGGGGTCAGAGCCAGGCAGCTTCTGCTAGTTGCCGGGGCTGGGACACTTCTGATGGCCACCCAGAAACCGAATTCCTGGGCAGTGGGATGAGCTGATAATAGAGAAGAGCCAGCAGCTGTGAGGAGGGCTGTCCTCATCACCCCAGTCTGGCTCCAGAGGGCAGAGGAGGCAGGGTACAACTTGTGATGGTAGGATGTATCCCATCTGAATCCAGCCCTGACTTCACCAGGCTACCAGAGCCCAAAATGAGACTAGCCAAATCCACACCAGGTAGGTGAAGATAAGGTATTATATGGGTATTATATGGACAGGAGGTCAGGCCCCCCAGCACAGAGAGTGGCCTATTCTAAAGACTGGTCCTTGGGGACTTTGCATTACAGGTTTCACTTGTCATGTTTGGTTGGTTGGTTTTTTGGTTGTTTTTGTTTGGTTTTTCGAGACAGGGTTTCTCTGTGACTTTGGAGGCTGTCCTGGAACTAGCTCTTGTAGACCAGGCTGGTCTCGAACTCACAGAGATTCGCCTGCCTCTGCCTCCCGAGTGCTGGGATTAAAGGTGTGTACCACCAATGCCAGGCTGGAACTAGCTCTTATAGACCAGGCTGGCCTCGAATTCACAGAGATCCGCCTGCCTCTGCCTCCCGAGTGCTGGGATTAAAGGTGTGTACCACCAATGCCAGGCTGGAACTAGCTCTTATAGACCAGGCTGGCCTCGAATTCACAGAGATCCGCCTGCCTCTGCCTCCAGAGTGCTGGGATCGGAAGCATGCCTGGCTTCTTGCCCTGTTTCTTAGGTCTTGTCTTTCTTTGTAGGACTCCTGTTGAAAGTACTCCACATGCTGCTAGCTTAGACAGCAGCTTTGGAAACAGGCTGAGCCTGGCAGGGAGGCAACCCTAAAAGGATGGAGCCCTCCTCTCAGAGTCACTGAGCCAAGTTCTCTGAAATGACCAACACTGAGCATTTCGGAGGTCCTCAGCCAACAGACTGACTCGATCAGCAGCTCAAGTCACAGACTCACTCTAGATACACAGCAGATGAAGGGGGGGTGGGGGGGGTTCAGGACATGGTGATGGGGAAATTAGGGCTGGTTTTCCTATGCCATGCCAGTCCAGAGCCACGGGATGACTGCTGAGAGCTGGGAATGGAGCAGAGGGTGCCAGTCACAGTCACTTCCTGAGGGGTTTCGGCTATCCTCCTAGGTCTCAAGGAATGCCACTTAGCTATTTTAGTAATGATCTGGGCAAGAGAACAGTAAAGATGAGAACATCTTTCATTTTAGACTAGAGGATAAAGTGGGCTGGGGTGTCCACAGTTCTACAAGCCACTGTTACAACGGTTACCATTTGTACCTTGTGTCCCCTCACTTAGAGGTATCTACTAAGAGACCCACCCACTCTACGGATTAACGCTCAAGAAGAGCAGAAACTGATGGATGCTGGATTCCACCAGTTCTTGCAGGGTTGAGTCCTGAAATCCTGACCCTGGGTTCTGAACACACATGGATAGAGCTCTGTGCTATTTCTGCCCTGACCCGGGAAGATGAACTGTCAGTTTTCAGCCCGTCTTCTGACTCCTCCCTCTTGGAATCTGGTAGATCCAAGCAGCTGTTCGAGGAACTGGAAGCCAAGCACAACAGGTGCTCGAGAGGTCACCATGATCAGCTCAGACCCCAAGTCCTCCCCTGGCTTGGCTCGGTGGGCCGAGAGCTATGAGGCCAAGTGCGAGAAAGCCGCCGCTGTCGCCGCAATGAAACCACTTGCCGCCAGCCAGGGAAGGTGCTGAGGACCCAGCACAGGGAACGGCTTCAGAGAGCTCGGCAGCTCCAGTTCCTCAGAAGGAGAGACCTGGAGGATGAGAAGAGAGGCCAGGCCAAGGAGCAAGGGCCCTCCCAAAAGACAGAAGGAGGGACAAGCCAGGTGACTGTCCTCAAGGGGTTCGTGCCTGGTGCCAACTAGACCTCTTTCCCTGGGCAGCAGGTGGGATATGTCCAAGAAAACATCGCTCCAGACCCAGGGGTGGATGGGGTGGGGTGGGTTGGGGTAGGGGGTCTGAGAAGCACAAAGGCTGAGGGACACCAACAAGTGATTTCTGTACACCTCTTCCTCAGCAATGCAATCAAGTTTCCATTAGCTGACAACCATTGCTCTTTAGAGATTATGTTGTGTCTTTAACTTCTTTTAAAGAGGAGGGGTCCTACACCTACCTGTTGGGAGAACGGAAATAATTGTACAGACAATTCCAAGCCAATAACTAGTATAAGAATAAGATCTTTTTTTTTTTTTTCTGAGATAGGGCCTTGCTATATAATTCAAAATGGCTTCAAGCTCATGCTCCTCCTGCCTCCCCTTCCTGAGTTCTGGGATGAAAAAGAGCAGACTGATTTGTGGCTGCCATCACCCCATCCTGCCAACAGGTCCCTGTCTCTGTCTTCTTTTGACAGGAAAGCTCAGTAGTTCTGTGGCTCTAAGGAGAGGTAGGCAGTCCCTCTAGGCCCTTCCTTATAGGCAGGAACCAGAGGCCCAGGAAAGGCCAAGATCTGACCCCTGTCGCTGAAGATGGAACTCAGGGCCTTGTGTGTGCCCGACAAGCCAACTAGCACTGAGCTACAGCACCGGCCTCTGGTTCTTCTCTCTACAGTTGTCTGGGAAACTTAAGAGGCCCCTCAGAGTGGCATTCAGCAGCCTTCATTTGCTTTCCAGGTAACAGGGACGGGCTCTGCCATTTTCCCAACCCTGTGTCATTCCTCCTCAAGCATCCACGGAGACTTGGACGGCCTCCATCCCTCACACATGACAGCCTCTCTGCTGCAGGACTCTGCCATCAAGAAGCCACACAGACAGCACCGGGGTGAGAGCACAGCCCTGACCTGCGGTGACAGTCCTGCTCTCCCTTCACCCTCCCCCTCATCCTCCATCCTTCCCTGCCTGCTGAATCGCCCTGTCTACGGCTCAGGTACTCAGACAAAGCCGGAAGAGGCACAGCCAGCAGTAAAGAACGATGCCAGTCAGCAAACCAAGTGAGTTCCCTCGTGTTCCTGGTCCTGATGCTTCCTCGTCCATTTGTTTCCTCCACATGTTTATGGGGAACGCCTCCACTGGACACCTCAGCTGAGGAGGAGGAAGCCCCTCCCCACCCCTACTGCTCTTCCGCAGGGATGCCAGGCACAGCTGACACCCTGCCTGCTCACAGGTTTCATTTTTTGGCCCACTGTCATGTTTTCCTTCTCTTCCCAGCTGTGGAGTTGCAGTCCTAGACAAGGTAAGAGAACCCTCGTTTGGAGGGGGTTTGGGTCAGACAGCACCTAAGCTCTAGCATTCTAGATGATAAACTCGGGCTGGGGTGGAGGGACTCCTTCCTCCAGGATGGCCAGATGGTCTGACCCTGCCAGATCCAAGGCTAAAGAGATCTGCTACACGTAGGCCAGCCAGGACTCTCTGGCTCTCTCCTGAAGTCCTCCTGAACCTCTTTCCCCTCTCTCTAGGACATCATCCAGCTCTCCGAGTACCTCAAAGTAAGTAGCCTGGTGATGCACACCTGCACACGCACTCACACAGCTTCCCACCTGCTCTTCCTCCAGGTTAATCTTTCCCTTTACGTTTTCCCTTCTAGGAAGCCCTACAAAGGGAGCTGATCCTCAAGCAGAAAATGCTGATTCTCCAGGACCTGTTGCCTGCCCTGACCCGGGCTTCTGACAGCTCTTGGAAGGTAGGAGTAAAACCTTCAGGCTAGGTGTGCATGCTTCTATGCGTGCCCGCCTTGTCTCTCTTAGCACACCATCCAGCAAGGGAAGGCGCTGACTCTCTGAGAAGAGGCAAAGGTGGGGATGCTCAGATGCAGAGGCCAAGAGGGTGGCCTGATTTTAAGCTGTGGGGAGAGAAAAAAGGAAGGCCCCATCCAGTGTTGCTACCAAGTGTTGTCAAGGCAATGACTTTCCCATGGGATTCTGTATTAGTCACGTTCTTATTGCTGCACCAAAATACCCGACACAAGAAACTTTAAAGAAGGAGCTTATTTTGTTTATGGTTCCAGAGTACAGCCCATCATGGTGGGGGTGCGTAGGTCATGGCAGCAGGACTGTGAGGCAGCTGGTCGGTCACACAGCATCCATAGACAAGAAGCCAAGTGAGGAAGGCTGGTGTTCAGCTGGCTTTTTTTCCCACTGGGAACCCCAGCTGGTGGAATGGCACTGCCCCATTCATTCCAGGCAGGTTTAACCTCCTCTGCAATCTAGAAGCTCCCTTGCAGACACTCCCAGGGGTTGTCTTCAATATGACTCTAAATGTCATCAAGCAAACAATCAAACTTAACCATCATGGATCCAAATCAAGACTCAAACAAGCCAGAATAATACTCAGACTGGAGAGGACTTAACAGGTGATCTAGTCTGATTTTCTGTTTGCTGTGATGAGCCTTGCCTGTAGTCACATAACTACTTAGCGAAGCCCAGGTCTCTAATGTCAGTCTGTTCATTCTTTAGATAGCCAAAGGTCATGCCCCTGGTACCAACGCTGCAGATCTGTTCTTTAGGCAGACACCTGCATTTTTTAAAAAACATCATCTCATCATGTAGCCTGGATGGCCTAGAACTCTATGCAGGCCAGGCTGTCCTTGAACTCACAGAGATGCACCTGCCTCTGCCTCTGCCTTCCATCCCAAGTGCTGGGACTAAAGGTGTGCACTGCCATACCTGGCTCAGGTTCCTGCATTTTAGAGAGTTCATGTGAAAATAATATAGACATGAGAAATAAAAGAAATGTTTCCAGGGTGGAGCAGGCTAAAGAGAGAACAGACAACAGTGAGGAGCCAGAGGCACATGGACAGTTACAAAGCATTGCCAGGCAAATGAGGGCACAAGGACAATGTCTCAAGCAAGAATATGAAGAGGCAGGAGCCAGAGCTTGGCTTGGTTTATTACAATGACTCTCTAACATTTTATCTCAGGACTCTTTATATTAATTTTTAATCAATTAATATTTTCATAGACCGATCACATTTTCCCCTCCCTTCATCCCCCCTCCTCCTCCCCAGCCTCCCCTCTCCATTCCCCATCCACTCCTCCTCCTTGCTCTTCAGAAAAGGTCAGGCTTCCCCACGTATATCGGCCAGTGATGGCATATCAAGTTGTAGAAAGACTGGGTTCCTCCCTTCCTATTAAGTCTAGACAAAGCAACCTGTCTTTATATTAATTTTCAACTAAAAATTCCAAAGAACATCTGATGTGTAACATATTAGAATTTACCATGTTAAAAATTAAAACAGAAATTTGGAAATATTAATTTAGAAATAACAACAGTCAAGTATCATATGCTAACTTACATATTTTAATGGAAAACTTTGTTTGTTTGTTTTGTTTTGTTTTTCAAGACAGGGTTTCTCTGTATTGCTTTGGAGCCTGTCCTGGAACTAGCTCTTGTAGACCAGGCTGGCCTCGAATTCACAGAGATTCCCTTGCCTCTGCCTCCCAAGTACCAGGATTAAAGGCGTGTGCCACCAGTGCCCGGGGAAAACTTTTTTTAAAGGAAAAAAATAGAGATGTAGCATGGCTGGACATTTTCAATATCCAGCTAAACAGAGGACAGCTAAACTCTATCTGCTTCTAAACTCAGCTCTTGTGACCACTCTCTTAGTTGAAGCACTGAAAGCATTCTGTGTTGGAAACGGAAAGGCCTTGCAGATAGATCCCTTGAAAGGGTCTCTCAGATTTCATGTGTCCAGCAGATGATAAGCAGGTTGGTGCCACCAAAGCCTAAGGCAGCAGGTGTGTTGAGCCAGAAGATACAGCCTCACAGGCTTCCATGCATCTCACCATAGGAAGGCTTGTGCTTACAGAAGTGAATCGGGAAAGCGGGTGCAGGACACTCCAAGAAGTTTGCAGTGACAAAAGACCACCAAGGCATCAGCCCGCGAACCCGGATTCAGGAGTCTCTCTGATGCAGCCTCTGCTTACCCAGTCATTGCTACCGGCAGAGCAGGGGTGGGGCTGAGTCCAGAGTTGGCATGGCAGGTGGTTTCCAGCACTGAGCTAAACTGAGATCATCTCATAAGATACTTGGTAACTTTCAACTCTGTGCTGGGGGCTCAAACAAAACGAAATAGAACCCTTGCTCTGAAAGACTCACAGCACAGCAAGGGAGAGGCCAACAGACAACTTCTCTGAGACGAGGCTGCAAGTGTGTGTGCAGCCTGACACACACAGAGAGTGATTCTGCCTGAAGGAGAGTACCGAAGGCTCTGTGGAAAGAGACCATTTCGGCTGGGTCTTAAAGGGTGAGGAGAGGCTCCCCAGTTCAGAAGCTGCTTGATGACGGTGGAAAAGCAGAAGAATGTTTAAGGAATTAGGATGTTTACGGGCCTAGGTGTGGCAAAGCAATGGGTATGGCCCAATGCGATGGCAGGAAGGGTTCCTATCTGAATAGTGTCAAAGAAAGACACTCTCACACTTTCAGAACAGGAAACTTGAACCTTCTCTGTCAAGGTTTGTTTCAGGTTTAATGTGTAGACTCCTTTTTTAAAGGAAAAAGCCACAAAAACCACACTTACATACATATCTGTATGCATGCATGCATGTCACGGCAGACATCTTGTATTGGGGGACCCATGAGATTGCATGCCACCCCCAGGTTGAGAAACACGGTCACAGGCAGGAAGTAGGGCGGAGTTGAAGTCCTGCACTTTGAATTGCCTGCCTGTCTTTAGAGACGCTTCATCACTACAGAACTGAACGGAAAGGAGGGAAAGATCTGTGTTCGTAGCTTCTCTGAGCAAAAGCCCAACTCTGAGTGAGGGGTGGGGCCCTACAGAAGCCTAGAGGTCAGTTGCGCTTAGTGGGAATGAGGCAGATACATTGAGAGCCATTTATGTAGCGCCCAGGAGTCTGAGGCAGAAGGATTCCCAACTTCAGGCCAGCCTGGGCTACATATTTTGTTGTTGTTGTTTTTAAGCCATTTCTACCATAAACTTGGAGGGGGGCAGGTGTTGTTTTACCCCAGGCTCCAGAGGAAGAGCTGAGGTTCCTCTGGCTGTCATTTCCACTCTCCCATCTTCTCACCCTTCCCACGTCTCACATTTCTCTTCTTCCTCCCACCCCCAAGCTCCGGGCCTCCTGTGTTTAAGAAAAGTCATAGCTAACTGTTGAGTTGAGAGTCCTTGCTTCTCCCAAAACAGAACACTTCAACTCCATCCCTACTGAGAAAGCCTCAGCATCAGCGAAACGGTGGCCCCATTTGTTGGTTTTGAGAAATTAACTGAATGAATGAGGGCAGAACTGGGACTCAGATCTCAGCCAAGCGAGTGTCCACTTTGTCCCTTCCACTTGGCTCCACGTATTAATTTCCAGAAGTTCAGGGCAAGATCTCCATTAGAGCCCCGGAGTCAGTGCCCTCCAAGACGCTCCCGGGAGCTGCAGAGAACCTAGAGCCGGGCCCAACCATTAGAACAAAAGCAGCTCTGCCAGGAGAGGAAGCTGGAGTGGAGCTGGGTTTGAAGACCTGCATAGGGAATTGAGAGCTTGAGATGACAGCACAGTGGGCACTGGCTTCCTGCCTTATGCAAACTCTGTTAGGGCAGACATGAGCCATGGGCTAGAGCTTCTGTGCTGGGGTGTGGTGTTTATGGAAACAGATCTGAGGCAGGAGACCAAGCAGGAGCAGGATCTGAAGCCCTCAGGCCAGTGCCTGGTGTGTGTGGCCTCCCCATCTCCCTTCTCCACCAGGGGTGGCCTGTCCGAGGTGCTCCAGGCTGCAGCAGCCTGCAGAGATTCTCAAAACTCCAACCTGGCATCAGCATGGGAAGACTGGGGCTGTTGGGGGAGCGGGTACATGCTCCATTTTCAACAACTTGGCTTCAACTTTCCCTGCTTGCCTTAGGGAGTCTGGAATGATGGGCCAGAGATTTGTTCATGGCCTAGACTTGGGTGGTGGCCCCTATCCCTACTTGAATGGGGCTACCCTGAATCATCTCATATTGCAGCATAAATGGAAAAATAATCTGGGTTTGGGCTGAAATGCATAAACACTTGGAAGAGGAAAAAAATACTGAATGAAAGCGGTACTACAGAACAGGGAGCTGCTACCCAGAGGACATTTCAAGGATACTGTCTGGAGCCTGTGTTCCTTCCAGGCTATAAGAAGGCAATCTTTAAACTTGGTGGGTGTGGCTGGCTTCTGCAGCTATAGAGTCTGGGTGAAGGAAAGCAAAGCGTTTGCACTCTGTTGGAAGACCAGCACAGAGGGTGGCGGGGTGGGGCCAGCTGGGTGCAGGACCTGCAGACTGACAATGAACAGGCCCCTCTGGGGAATTCAGCTGCCCTACCAGTTATGCCTGGACCTGAACAGTGGAATCCTTTGTCCTTCCCTTTCATTTGTCCCAAGCCCTGTGGTTATTGTAAATGCCACATCCCTCACTCTCTACACTTTCCCACATGCGACTGAGAAAAACGTTAATAGAAGGAGGCACTTTAAAAATTGGTTTTGGCAAGGGTTTTCCTTTTGCAAGGCCCAGCTGAGTAACACAGGAAGCAGAAAGGGTGGGGTCTCCCCCATCCTCAGTTAGAAGAATTAGACAAATAAGATCAAAACAGAAGCTCTGTGATACCACTTCCTGCCTTTCCCCAGGAGTCTTGACTCTAAGCACAGGAGGCCCACCTCACCCCAGAGGCCCTCTCTGCCCCTAGTCTTTATAGCCGTGAACTGCCATTAGGGTTGGAACTGTCCCTCAGTTTGACAAGTCACAGCATCCAGGCCCTGAGGAAGGTCCCCCAAGAATCCCACAGGACTTGGGTGGAGAAGTCAGAGAAAAAAAAATATGAAAACCACTTACTGGCTCATGGCCCTAACTCTGAGAAACATGCTCTTATTAATGGCACTCCCACCGCCACAGGCAGATACACCTGGGGTAAAACTCAAGGCTGGCAAAGGGGGTTTCTACAGGTAGAAGGAGCAGCAAAGTAAGCCGCATGCTAAAAGACTGAAAGCAAGAATTCCACCTCTACCCACCCTTCTCTGCTTGGTCCTAGATCAAGGAATACCTGGAAGTGCTACCAGGTCATCCAGACGACCTGGGACATGCTGGGGGGGGGGGCGGGGGGAGCATGAGTCAACAAGGCAGACTGACCCAGCTTTTGAATACCTGTGTGACTTTCCCAGAAGCCCTCTCACACCCTCCTGGTACCCACTTCTACTTTGTAAAGGATTTCTCATGTAAGTCCTGCCAGGCAGGGAAGCCCACACACACTCGCTACACACACACACACACACACACACACACACACACACACACACACACGTACAGTCAGAGTCCTCCATAGCCACAGGTTTCACTGCCTTAGATTCAACCAACATTGGATCAAGAATAACTGAAAGAAAAAAAATCCCGTTTTTCTTGTCTTTCTTGTAATCAGTCCCAAGCCAGGACATTATGGATGCCATTTATACAGCATGTCCAGTGTACTGTGAGTGAGCCAGAGGTGATTTTAAGCATATAGGAAGATGAACATGGGCCATCAGCAAGTGCAACATGTTTATATAATCATTCTGGGGGTTCTAGGAACTAATCCTCATTGGATATGAGGGGTGTGAAATGCAAGGGCTGCCCCTAGAGAGACCTCTGCCCCACTGGCCTGCCTGGCCTGAGGTCAAGGTACCACCCGTGTCAGTCTCCCCTCTTGTCTCTCTTGGGTTGCAGATGTCCATCTTGTCTTCAGGTGGTCTACCCTCAGTATAGCCGTTGTTCTGATCTGGTTTTATAAAAATGCCAGAAAACCAGACTAGGATCCACTTGACTGCGTTTTAACTTCTTTGAAGGCCCACCTCCAAATATGGTTCCACTCTGGAGAACTGCAGCTCACTGCAGCATTGAGCCTTAAGGGCAGACACAGTTCATTAAGCCCATAACAAGGAATTGTAGCAAATACAGATTCTCTCCAGGATCAACAGAGGCAAGAAAAACAGCAGTGGGGGGGGGGGGGGATTACAGCTTAGGAAGCTCCCCATTGGTAGCCTCTGCCTGGGCCATTTCAAAGGACATGGAGAATCTAGGGCCAGTCTGGATGTCCCTTGGCCTAGCACAGAGAGAAGATCAACACCCCCCACCCCAGAGCTCCTCAGCTGGCTCTGATCCCGCAAGGGTTCAGTCCCATGACACCCCTTGGCACCCCATGGGGCCGAACTTCAGCTGTGTGCAACTGGGCTGTAGCTCTCTTTGTGTAGCTAGCTTCTTTGTGTATTTTTTGGCCTTCGTTTACTAACTCATCCTGTCTACTTTAGGGGCAGCTTAATGAAGACAAACTCAAGGGCAAACTAAGGTCCCTGGAAAACCAGCTCTACACCTGCATGCAGGTAAGTGTTCTGGAGAACACAACTAGCACATTAATTTCAATAAAATGAGAATGTTTGAATCTTAGTCCTGCCTTCTAGAAATGCTACCAAATGGAGACTGCCACAACTGCTCACTCTGTCTGTTTTCACTTTGGTCCCTGATTTGCCATGTCACTATCTGCACTGTCCCCAGTGCACCCCAGGAAGGGACCCCAGCACTAAACATGTTGTTGGCTCCTAGGGAACTGTAGGCAAAGTGACTTGGTAAAGGTTCCTACCACACGGCCAGTCTCCACAGGCCCAATCTGAGGGCAGGTGAAGAGCACATGACAGGAAACTGCAAAAATGATTTTCATCTCAGGAACAAGTTGTTTTTAGCAGCAATCTAGAGGAGGAAAGAAGCACAAGAGTGAACCCTGGCTTTGCTTGTTAATACTCAGCTTCAGTAATCTCTTGATTTGGCCCAATTTCAGGTTCAAAAAAAAATCAATTCCCTGTCAGATTGAATATGACAGTGGGAAAGCATGGGCCAGCAAGATGGCTTCCCAGGCAAGGGCACTTGCCACCAAGTCTCACAACCTAAATTCAATCCCTGGAATCTATGTGGTAGGAGGAGAGAACTGCACCCCCTCAAAAGTTGTCCTCTGACTTCTATGCACACTCTGTGGCAAGTACACACACACACACACACACACACACACACACACACACACACACACACTATTAAAGGAAAGGTAGGTAAGTAGGGAATGGGTGGGCTTCTCTCATCTAGAACTAGAGGGATCAGTACTTTTCCTACACAGCTGGGAAGGGTTTATATTGTCTATGGGTTTTCTGGTCTACATATTTTTTTTTGTTTTGTTTCTCAGTGTGAGCTGCTTTGTTAGGCTCATATTAGCTAAAATATGCCAAACCAAATTTGTCAGCGACCAGCATGCAAGCCAGAATGCAAGTCTTTAGTTTGTTTTTTGAGAAAAGTCTCATTATTAAGCTGACCTTGAACTTGGGATCCTCCCACCAACCTCCCAGTGCCTGTGTTACAGACATAGGCAACTATGCCCAGGTGCTCTATTAATTTCCTATTGGAAGTAAAGCTGGTTGGCGACTACTACTGTTTAAGTCCAATAACTAGGGCACCACCATGTCACTCTATGGTTTGATTTTTAATGAAAATTCCAAAAAACAGAGCACCCTTTCAGATACAAATACAAAATTTCACGGCATCCCAAGTGAAAGGAAAATGACTCCTAGTGATCCCTTCATCTTCATTCTCTGGATTTATCCAGATGGGTCTAGAATGGACCAGAAAAGCTGCTGGCCTTCCCCCAAAATCACAAAGTCAAAAAGGTGAAACACGAGGGCAGCCAACACTTCAGTGGATCTGTAAATCTATTTTATCTGGTTTAGGGGTATTTTTCTTGTTCCCAACGGCAGGGGAAACATTTTGCCCAGCACCTTTACTCCCAGTGCTCAGGAGGCAGAGGCAGGTGGATCTCTGAGTTCAAGGCCAGCCTGGTCTAAAGAGCAAGTTCCAGGACAGCCTCCAAAACAATACAGAGAAACCCTGTATTGAAAAAACAAAACAAAATAAACAAAAAAGCCAAAACTGGGAGTATGCTGAATGCAAACGTACCGCTTTTAGAACACTAAGTCCTCAGATTCCTAGGACTTCATTTAGGCAGGGGTGTGCTCCCCGTTTGGAAACTGTTTCCTAGGGAGTAGGGGGGTTCATCCACAGAGCAGAGCAGTGGAGGCTGGGGGGAGGGAGAGACCATCAATGAAAATTCCAAAAGCATACGTCCCATTCTCGTGAATGCCATAGTCAGTGCTCAGCAAAGCCACCAGACCTGGGGACTTCGGAGTTGGTGGAGATTTAACAGAATCAGTTGATGCTCTGCTCCTGGAGCTCAGCAGAGGCTAACCCGGTGGAAGGATAGAGGCCACGGCTGGGGCTGGGGCTGCAGCAGAAGTACCCTGCCAATGGCAGGCACCTCTCACATAGCCTGCGGGACTCCTCCGCTCAGCTCCGGTCTGAAGAAAAGGCCCACCAGACAACTGGCATCTCTGCCCCGAGACATTCTTTTCATGTGTGTATCCCAGCTGTTGGGTAGGCAGAAGTTCAGTGTGCATTTGCTGAATTGCTTCTGGTTTACAGAAATACACTCCCTGGGGAATGAAGAAGGTGCTGCTGGAGATGGAAGACCAGAGGAGCAATTACGAGCAGAAGGCCAAGGAGACACTGCAGAAAGTGCTGGAGGAGAAAATGGATGCAGAGCAGCAACTGCGGAGTGTGCAGGTGGGGTTCTGGGGGCCGGGACCCTGAGGGCAGACCCCAGGGCAATCCTGCACTTTAAACTGCACCAAACGCAAACACAGAGTTCTCTCCTCTGGTCTCTCCCAGCTGTCCCTGGCTTTGGCGGAACGGAAGTGTGAAGAGTGGAGGAGCCAGTACGAGGCTCTAAAGGAGGACTGGAGGACACTAGGGGACCAGCACAGGGAGCTGGAGAGCCAACTGCATGTGCTTCAGTGCAAACTACAGGTGCCGGGCCCTGGGCATGGGAGGGGGGGGAGGGCAGAAGTGGGGGAAAGGTATGGGGAGAAAAGACGCTCCTGGGTTGGGCCCCAAAGCCTTGAGAAATGCAACAAGGAGCGTTCACATCTTCACCCAGTGCCCACTTAGTACCAGACTCACTGTTTGGCCTCCGTACTTAGAAATAATGCCTGCACTGCTCATGCAAATGAGTTAAGTGCCCACTGGAAAGACATGAACCAAATACCAATGCCTGGGTTGGAGTAGTCATTGATCAGCCTGCTAATTGCACACTATTCAAACACCATCCAGCAGAGTACGCAGTGGACAATTGCCTGCTGTTCTGCACACAATAAATGTGACTAATCTATTTACAGGTGTCAACACATCCTGCCAATGCGTTTCTTAACAAATTACTGTAAGCCCTTGGCATACTCAAAAGTTCCTACACTTTCAATCTGTCACCTTAGAAAATCTAATTGACTTCCATAAACCTGTTTCCTCATCAGCAAAATAAGGGTAATAGTATTGCTGCATGTATTAAATACGGACATCCACACAAAGTGTTTAGCATGGTCTATGGTACACATGAGCACTTGTCACACGTTAGCGATTACTTTGCATGTGTTACCTCTGGCCTGGGTGGAGACTCACGTTCGCAGCTACCTAAAACTTAAGAGTTAATCCACTGGGGCTGGTCAGTCATCTGGCTAATGAACCATCCCTCAGGAAGGCAGATTCACCTTAAGCCATACCAAAAAAGGAAGAATAATTATACCTTTATTAAGATGGTGCACTGTCCCTTCCCAGAAAGCCTGCCCCTGGTATAGTCACTTATGGAGCCACAGTCATGCTACTGGGTTAAGACCACCTACTTTTCTGGCTTTTCAGAAAAGTATAACTTTTCTTTTTCATATCTTCTTTCTTTCTAATACTTGCCAAAGCTGAGGTATGCTTCCAGAACACTCAGGGCTTTCTTACTCTTTTTCTCTAAGGCTATTCTCTCATTATCCCCTTTGCCATATGGCTGTTGGCCAAACCACTGAACCTCCACCCCTAACTCAAAAGGCCTGGCTTTCTTTCCCTCTTCTCCATCTTTGTCCTCTAGGCAGCTGCTGAGATTTACTCCATTTTTTTCATTGTTGTTTGGGGTGGTTTTTCTTTCTTAGCTAAGAAAAAGCTTTCTTAAGAATCTGTTCTTTTCTTTAATGTTAACAATCTTTCTTCAATTTTTTTCATTCTTGAGATTTTAATTACATTTCTCCCTTCCTTTTTCTTCCTCCAAACTCTCCCATACACATAAATATAAATGGTCGAATCCATATATTTCTTGTATGTTTGTTTTCAGGGCTGACCATTTGACACTGGACCACCAATTGCTGTGCTCTTTCCTGGGGGGAGGGGGACCACCTCTCCTGCTCCCAGCTTTCCTTAGTTGCCTACAGTTCTTTGTGTAGGGTTGAAGCCTTGTGGGCTTTTCCCCAAGCGGCTTCAAATGTCTATTGGTGTCCTCCTTGTTCACTTCACATTTGAGTAGTCATGTTGGTGAGACTTTACAGATGTCACTTCTGATGTTACTAGGAGACACAATCTCACCACAAACTCCCTAATCTCTGGCTCTTACAGTCTTTCTGCCCCCTCTTTTAAAATGTTCCCCTAGCCTTGGGTGCTGGAGTTGTTTTGTACATGTATTCATTGAGACTGGGCTCCACAAATACGCGTTTTGATTGATTGTGGTTTTCTGTAGTGGGCTCCATCTCTTGCAAAGATAAGTTTCATTCATGTGTTCTTTATTTTTTTTATTAACAAATCTAAGAACTCAGAGAGGAGGCCCCAATATCCCCAGTAACATATGGCATCTCAGGTGGGGCTCCCCAAAGTTTTCAGTAACACATAGATTTCACTTACTTAGTTTGGAACTTTGAGGATCTGTCCCCAAAGTCCATCTTTACAACCCCCCCCCCCCACCTTGCAAGAGGGATCAGAAAAAGCATGGCTGATGAGGGAATGAGACTTTTAGAGTTACCTATCTCACTGGCAGTACAGCCCACGGCATCCACATTTCAGCCTTTGCTCTCTTCTTCCCATCATGCATAAGACAATTCTTAAGAAAGTGTTCTGAGGTTTATAAACCATAGCTCTTTGTGAAGATGCTCCTAATTGCCCCTCTCCCTCAACAACTGACCGTGCTAAAAGTGAAGGCAAAGTGAAACATCTAGGAAAGTTCCCACTCGGTGCGCCTTGATGTGGAGACCTTCAAGGCGTCGGGACATCATCCCCTGTAAACATCCAGTCAGATGCTCTGCTGGAGACACGCAGGGTGGAGAGGAAAGGGAAGTGGAGGGAAGTCTGCATTTCTCTGAGTCCTAGGCTCTAAAGTTCTACCGTTTTCCATTCCATGGGTCCTGCTCTGTCCCCACCCACGCTGACCTCGTCCTTTCAGAGAGCAGACAGCAGAGACTCACAAATGAACCAGGCCCTGCGGCTTTTAGAAAGTGAGCACCAGGAGCTGCAGGCCAAAATTGAGCACCTGCAAGGGGACAGAGAGCAGCAGAGCTCTGACACCCGGGACCTACAAGGTACTTCTCTTCCTGGGGGTGTTAGGGTTGTGAGAACCACAACTGAGTGAGCTCAGGGAGAGGACGCTGTGGGGAGGGGCTTTGGCCTTATGATCTCATCTTTCCTTGAGGGAAAGGCAGGGCTCTACCTTCACCACTGAAATGAGCATCAGTTGTGCTTCACTAGACTTTGTACGCTCTCTCCTCCAGCCTGTCCTATGGGCAGGACCACGGCTGCTCCTGCACTAGTCACATGCCAGGGCCATGTTCCTAACTTGAAAGGGAAAGGTTAGTACAAACACAGGCAGAAAGAAGGCTTCCCAGCTGTGCCAGTGTGGGCTGAAGGGACCCACGATGTCTACACAACACTGTGATGTTTGTGTGCAGATGCTGGCCTTCCTCTTCAGACCTAAAAGACACTTGACACTACAGAGCACAGGACATGGTTCAGGGTTCCACCATCGGGTGCTCTTCGGTTTCAGTCTGCCTTCTTTCACTTTCAGATCAACTGAAGAGGTCAGAGGAGGAGAAACAGGCCCTGGCGAGCAGAATACAACAGCTGCAGAGTAAGTGTCCTCTTCAGTCTTAAACCTGCACAGGTGGTTTCCGGTGTGCCCACCCACAAAAGGCATCCAAAGGAAGGCCAGGGCCCTTGGGCTCAAGGCTCCGGTGTGTCCTGTTTTGGCACACTCTCGGGCCCACTTCCCGCAAAGGGAGGGTCATTTGCATAGCTCTCCACAAGTTACATGGTTTGTTTCTTTCCCAAGTTGTGTATTAGCATCTGTTCTTGTGTTTCCTCTCTATTTTCCTCCTTGTCAATGACAACCATTTACATTTCTACAAGAATTGCAGTTGTGTGTGTAGTGTGTATGTGTGTGGTATGTGTAATGTGTGCATGTATGGAATGTGGGGAGCTGTGATGTGTGTGATGTGTATTATGGCGTGTGTGTGTGTGTGTGTGTGTGTGTGTGTGTGTGTGTGTGTGTATGTGTGTTGTATGTGTGTTATGTGTTTGTGTGGTGTATGTGTAGTGTATGTGTGTGTGTTATGTGTATGCATGGTGTGTGTGTGTAGTGTATGTGTTATGTGTGGTGGGGGGAGGTGTAGTGTATGCGTGTGTAGTTGTGTGTGTTTTGTGTATGTGTTGTGTGTGTGTGTGTGTGTGTGTGTGTGTGTGTGTGTGTGATGTGTATTATGGCATGTGTATGTGTGTTATGTGTATGTGTAGTGTGTGGGGTGTGTGTATATGTGATGTGTATTATGGCGTGTGTGTGTGGTGTATGTGTTATGTGTAAGTGGTGTGTGTGTGTGTGTGTGTGTGTGTGTGTGTGTGTGTGTAGTGTAGTGTAGTGTATGTATATGGTCTTTATGGGTGCCCATGGAGCATGCACAGAGATAAGGGGGCTGGAGGATGTTGAGTATCTCCTGTCACTCTCCTCCTTAGTCCCTGAGAAAGGCTATGTCGCTGTTTCCCAGCTAGGTGCCAGCAAGCCCCAGTCATCTTCCCTTCTCTGCCCCTGGACCTGACAGCATTAGAGTAACAGGAACAGGTAGCCATGCCTGGTGTTTTATGTGGATGCTGACAATTTAAACTCAGGTCTTCATGTGTGTACAAGAATTCTTGCTCCCCCATTGCCCCAGGCTCCAGAACTGTCCATTTTAAGAAGTATTGGGCTTTCTAAGATAGTTCTTTTCTTATACATCCCATGTATTCACATGAACATGTCACTCAGATCTTTTTCACTAGAGGTGGTTCAGGAAATAAGCATTCATCAACCCCTACATAAGAGTCAGGCACCCTAAACATATGCACTGGTGTATACAACAAGCAATGGTTTCTTAAGAAATTCCATTCTAAGAAAGTCCAGGGGTAGAGGTTCCTTGGCAAAGAAATCAATGGATGTCAAGAAGATTAAGGGAAAATTAGTCACTGTTGTATAAAAGGTCATCTGAGAGTGTGCTCCTTGTAAAGTACCAGTTAAGCAAAGACTCACAGACACAGTAGAAGCTGACATAGGAAGACATATTGGTAATGAAGTACCACATTCAGCAACTTGGACAAAAGCGAGCTGTTTCACAGTTCTGGAGGCTGCAGTCCAAAACCAAGATGTCCAGAGGGTTAGTGCCTTCTGAGGTGAGAGCCTGCTCCAAGCCTCTCTTTAGCTTTGTTGCTAGATTTCTTATTTGTCTTCACATCGCTTTCCCTGGAGCATATGTGGGTCTAGGTATTTATTCCCTTTCTTATAAGAACACCAGTTGTCTGGACTAGGGCCCATCTTCATGACCTTATTTTTACTCAGTTACCCTTTCAAAGCCTCCATCTCCTAGGAAGGTCACATTACAGGAGTCAGGACTTCAACACCAAAGTTTTGAGGAACAATATTCAGTCCCTAACAGATGGTAGCATCTGAAATGAGTCTCCACAGCAGGTCTGCTAGCACAGACAAGTTCATTTTATCTCCCAACAGGTCTGCTTCAGAAACAGTCCTTACTCCATCAAGAACAGGAGAAACTCTTAAAGAAAGGTCAGCAAATTTACTCCCACTAACTGTTGCTCTCCCTTTGTCTGCCTAGAGGCTGGGAATGGACTACATGACTTCTTGGGGTTGTTTTTTTGGGGTTAACCCCCCCCCCCCCCCCGACTCCTGAGAGTCTGTGAAGTCAGGGAGGTAGAGAAATGTTTTGAGGAAATACTACTGACCTGGACATTTTAGTCAGCCTTCTACTCTGAGAGACACATAAACTTTGGGAAAGGGTCTCTACTTTCTCTGAAAACACTGCCTGTGCTAAACATTTCAATAAATTGGTTTTGAACTCAGAATTTCATGTCAGTTTTTACACAGTTGACTTTACAAATCACATCCAGCTCCTCAGCCCAAACCACACAGCACACTAGAGTCCTCTCACTCCAGACTGATCAACCTGCTGCCCACGCCTGCTAAGGGCTCATCAGCCACACAGAGGCCCCCAATGGCTCCTCTGCTATCCACATAGTCTGTTGTTTTATTCTCACAACTATTGGGTGTAATACAGGAAAATGCAGAAATGATTGTGCCCACATAGCACAGACAAGAAAATAAAGTTCTCTGGCCATACAAACTAAGGACTGAACTAAAAGAATTACCCAGAACTTGACTCTAGTGCAGTGCTTTTTCTCCAAAACTCAGACTATAGGGTGGATGAAAACCCAGCTTTAAAATATTAAGAGGCAGTCCAGAGTTGAATAGAAGCATTTAGCAAACCTACATGAGAAACTAGATACTATATGACAATAATGAAACAATTTCAATTAGTAAACATTTGCTAAAACTATCAAATTAATACAAATTCAAAGAAAAACAGATGTCAACCTTGCTTCAAGGAGTACAAGCCCAGCTGTGTGTGCGTCTAGGTCACAGAGTGCACCAGAGCTCTTTGTTGGTTGGTTGGTTGGTTGGTTGGTTTGGTTTCAAAACAGCATCTTACTATCTAGCTTTGGCTGTCCTGGAACTCACAGAGCCACCTGCCTCTGCCTCCCAAGTGCTGGGACTAAAGGGTGCATAACTATGCCCAGAACATCAGAGTTCTTTAACATGAAATGTTCTAATCCATTCAGTGAAAACGAGGACAAACCTGCCGGCTCCCTATTCTCCAAGTCACCCTAAGGGTTCTCAGTGACAGAGCCAGCCCTCACAAATAAGGGTCTTGCTGTCACTGAGACTCTGGCTGCTTTTTTAGATCAGGCTTTACCTGTGTGGAATCCAAAGCTCTCCCCTGATGAAGCAAAGCCCGAGAGTACAGGGGAGGAGAAAGACTGGGAGCTCAGAGACCAGCTACAAAAGGAGACATCTCAGCTCCAGGCCGAGGAAAAGGAGGTGAGGAGGCAACCTCAGTGTAAGGGCTCATCCAGACTGTGAGTGCTCACCTAGACTGTGAGTGCTCACCTAGATTGTGAGTGATCATCCAGGCTGTGAGTGCTCATCTAGACTGTGAGTGCTCACCTAGACTTGAGTGCTCATCCAGACTGAGTGCTCACCTAGATTGTGAGTGATCATCCAGGCTGTGAGTGCTCATCTAGACTGTGAGTGCTCACCTAGACTTGCGTGCTCATCCAGACTGAGTGCTCACCTAGACTGTGAGTGCTCATCCAGAATGCTCATCTAGACTGTGTTCATCCAGACTGTGAATGCTCATCCAGTCTGTGAGTGCTCACCTAGACAGTGAGTGCTCATCCAGATTGTGACTGCTCATCCAGACTGAGTGCTCATGCAGACTGTGAGTGCTCACCTAGACTGTGAGTGCTCATCCAGTCTGTGAGTGCTCATCCAGACTGTGCTCATCCAGACTGTGAGTGCTCATCCAAACTGTGAGTGCTCATCTAGATTGTGTGGGTTCCTCTAGGTTTATGGTTCTCAACCTGTGTGTCACAACCCTTTGGGGTTATATATCCAATATCTTGCATATCAGATATTTACATTATGATTGATAATTAGCAAAAATACAGTTTTGGAGTAGAAAAAAGTAAGTTTATGGTGGAAGTCACCACAACATGAGGAACTGTATTAAAGGGTAGCAGCATCAGAAAGGTTGAGAACCACTGCTCAGGATTGTAAGGAGCAGGGAAACCTTCTGCAAGGCAACTGAAAAGCAGGAACTTCCAAGCTTAAATTGTGACTGGAAGCCCACAGGTGCTCATTCTCCTCTACAAATGTCTCTGCCCTTGGAAAGACTTGCAATCTTTCTCCTTCCAAATCTGTAACCACCCCATCAAGGTTTTATGGTAGCCTATTAGGAAGTCAGCCAGAAGATGAAAATACTTGCTAAACACATTCACTTCTTAAATTCAGTCAAATAATGGGTATCACAGTGCTTTATTTTACATAGTGTCTTTTAAATAGCAAACACTTTCTTAGGAACATACTTCCAAACTCACACACCCTTGGAAGTATGCAGAAACAACTGGCTCCCAAGGAAGAGAGGCTTGTCCTCCAACAACTGCTAAGTCTTTTGTGCTATAAGAACTTATTTTTCAGTATGCTCACTTACAAAGCACATTCACAAAGTCATATAAAAGCATCTGCATGTATTGGGGCCAGTAAGCTGGTTCAGCAGGTAAAAGTACCTGCTGCCAAGCCTGATGACCTAAATTCAATCCCTGGGACCCACATGGTAAAAGGAGAGAAGTGACTCCAAGGGTTGTCTTCTGACTCCCATATATGCACTGTGATATTAGCATACACACATACACACACAACAACAATATAAAAGAAGCATTTCTATGTGTAAAATATAATATATGTAGCATAACCAATTGTGTAAACTCAACATATTTCAGATAAACTATGTGACAGGAAGAAGACTGACTAAAATCTCTGAGAAAAGTGGGAAGAAGGGTTCACTCAAAACAAGTGAAGGCTGATAGTACTCAGGGCAGTCTTCTTCCAGAGTTCCAGAGTTATGTCCCAAACTGAATTGGTGACACTTTATTATGTTGTCCCCAGTGCAGAGAGCTACATTCATAGTTATCCTCAATGACAAGTAACTCTCCTGTCTTAGAAAGCTACAGCACTGTCAGGAAGCCCTGAGATACAGCCAGGAGCCAGCTCCATCTCCCAGAGCAAGAGGGCCCATTCTTGTTTATAGCTTTTCATGACAGTAGAACAGTCCCTTTTTAACACCCAGCCCTATATGACAGTGGGGCAGCTCCTTTTTAATGCCAGACTTATTGATAAAATATATCAGTCCACATCTGGTCGTCCTGTCCTGTTCTACTTGATTTACATTATGCCAACAATATGGCAATATGAAATAATATGACTGCCATGAATAAATATGCAAGAAACACTGTCTATGATCCACCCAATTGTCATGAATCTCAAGTCTGGAAGACACTGGACGGAGCCTACTCTGAAAACCTGACATGTTCTAGACCCAAACATACAACAAATGCATAAGTGTGATGCTCAAGAGCTGCAGATGATTTGGGGGCATGTGGGGTCTGTGGATTTAGGGTGCCTTTTTACTAGGTCTGCTCAACTGGTAAAGTCTATACACATACTATAGAATGCAAAAAAAAAAAAAAAAAAGACAAAATTTCAAACACTGCTAATCCCAAGCAGTTCAGGAAAATGATACTTATTAGCCTGCGTTGACTCAATAAGAAAAACTTCTCTTTTGATTTATTGTGAACATAATGACAAGGACAGGAGGAAGGCTTAAAAAGCATTGAGGCACACAAAGAGGGTATTATTTTGCTGAATTAGTTTCTACTTTGGATATTTGTATCAGCATTTAAATATCTGTCCCCTATTGGATATGAGTCTGTAGGCCACTGGTAAAGTGGTTTTATCTCAAGGGAGGTGACAGAAAGTGGGGTAAGACACTGAAGCAAAAATGTCTTTTCTGCCACCAACGTGAGGTTTTTCTACTGGTTATGACACCAAAGGACTATTTGTGCCTGTGTTTTCTCCAGCTAACTCACAGATGCTCTCTCCTGTCTCTGCCTCCTTCCACACAGCGGCAGTGTGGCCAATGGCTCCCGGTGCTGATGGTGGTGATCGCTACAGCACTGGCGGTGTTCCTGGCAAACATAGACAGCCTGGTGATATGAATAACTTCTGGCATCTGTCTGTCTGTCTGTGTAAAATTCAGAAGCAAACAATTCCATGAAAAACTTGAGTTTTGGACTTTTTACAACTTGGGTTTTCCCTCTGAGTGAATCCAGAGTCCTAGTTTGTTTGTTTGTTTTTTTTCACCATGTTCTAAATAAACTTTATCTCACAAGACTATTCTTCAGAACTGTATATTCCTGGAAAACACAGCACACATCATGGCCTCATACCGTAATTCAATTAGAGCTACATAAACATGCAAAGTACCTGGTTGTTCTCCTTCCCTCTAAGGCACCTATCCACTTAGGGCAGGCCACCATCCACGAGTATATTGCTTTGTCTCCATTCTCTTTTCTTCTATTTCTTATTCAATGAAAAACAGACAGACACCTCTGCTAAGTACACAGGAACTCCTAATACAGAAACGGAAAGCATACTACTGCTGCCAACAACCATCCCATTCAAATAAGTAGCCAAGTGACTGCACAGCACTGTTCCCAGGAAACTTAAAATGATGTTAATTCAGCATTATTTGCTAATTCCAGCAAGAAGCTGGAAACAACCTAGATGGTCCTCAGCCAAAGAATGGATAAGGAAAATGTGGTACATTTACACAATGGAGTACTACTCAGAGGTTTAAAAAAATGACATTTTGAAATCTGCAGGCAAATGGATGGATCTAGACAAAGCCATCCTGAGTGAGGTAACTCAGACCCAGAAAGACAAATATAGTATGTACTCACTCATAAGTGGATATTAGATGCAAAGCAAAGGACAATCAGCCTGCAGGCACAACCCCATGGAACCAAGGTAACAAAGAGATCCCTAAGAGAGACATACACATGGATCAGCCTAGGAAAGGGAAAAAGACAAGATCTCCTGAGTAAATAGAAAACGTGGGGGAAAGGGAGAAGGGTAGGAGGGGAGAGGAGGGAAGGGGAGTGAGAAAATACATATATAACTCAATAAAAAATTTTAAAGAAAATATATAAAAAAACATTGAAATAAAGGATGTAATTTAAAATGACAGATTGTCATCTTCATCACAGGAGAAAAGCATTCACCTTCTCAACAGGCAGAGCTAAGTCAGAGGGACACAGCAGGCAGTGTGACTATCTCAGAGGAGATGCTGAGGTCACCAAAGTCATTCTGAGTCCTAAATCGGGTTCCGAGCTCCTTCTCCCAGGTGCTTAGGAAGTTCCTCAGGGCTGGGAACAAACTCTCTGGAACACTAAAGGAGTAGAGCAGAATTGGAGGTTGACCAGGCAGCCATGAAATCTGGACAGCGAACACCCGCAAGGGGATCATGGCTAAGCAGTTGCCATCTCCGTGGCTCAGGTGAAACGTGTAAGCGACAGGATAGCCCAGGAGTATCCCAAATACAGTGCAGAGATTCCAGTTTGAGGGATGCAGCTTGCTGTAGGAGACTCCCGGAGACACATGCCTCCGCAGTCCTTGAAAATGTGTGATGATCTCAGTCAGGGCAGATTTCAAGTCCTGGAGCTGGTCCAGCGAACAGACAGAAGGATGAGGCCGGGAGCAGGAAACATCCACTAAAGCTGTGGTACCCAGCAGTACCTGCTCCAAATGCCCGCAGGCATGCTCGGGGTTGACAATGAGGTTACTCTCCCCAATCTCAAGGACGTGAAGTCCCAGTGTCAGGAAGCCCAGGCCCTGCAGCTCCTCCAGATAGCTCTGGAGCGCCAATACACCGGCAGAGTTGCAGTCATAGAGAACAGCCGGCTTTAGCCCGCGGGCCACGGCCAGCACCTCTCCCGCTAGGTGAAGACACACAGCGCGAGGCGGACCCTTTCTCTTTCCCCCCCCCCCCCCCCCCCCCCCGGCCACCAGCAGCTGGGGGCTTGGTGATGCCATGAGATCTGGACGTGACATTACACGAAGCGTGACCTCCTTAGCTCGGCCACAGTCCCCTTCCCTGAGTCACAGTCCAGCTCCCAACACCTGAGGAAGCGCCTAGAAACAACGTGGTCGGGGGAAACCACCAACCCTGTGGAGACGGGGTCACCGGTGCTGCGCCCCACTTCTCTGGCCCCCTTCAGTTTCCCGAGACCCTGCTGCCGGCCTCCCAGCCACACTGATACTGTTTGTCTCCGGCTTCGATTCTAATTTTGACCTGGTGCAACTCATGCTCTGGAACAGAACAGTCTCTGGCGAAAGTTTCCGCCCTTTCTCCCCAAACCGTGCGTCTGGAACAGAGAGCTCTGGGCTCCAGACGCTGAGCTTTGCGCTGCCAGCTCCGCGTTTCTCCCGCTAAATTCTCACAGCGGCCTGGGCAAACCAGCCTAAGCGGGGAAGCGGAGCAACCGCCGGCTCGCCCGCGGACACACAGGTAAGGGGGAGCAGCTAGAGCTGGGGCAGGGCCACATTTTAACGCTGCCGGGCCGCCTTCCCTTCCACCACACGGACCCACGCGTGAGACTAGGACAGACTAGCTGCAGAAGGTCGGTAACGCGCTGACTCAAGACACTGCGCTTGCACTTCCGCTGCAGGTGCGGGGGACGCAGGAAGTCCTCCCGGTTCCCTCGCAGCGGCCAGGAAGGCAACTGACTCTGCCGCGCCCCACACAAAACTGTGAAAACACCTCAGGTGTGAGGAGGAACCCGGGGGAGGGAGGGGGAGGAGGAAAGCCTGACGCACGCGCGAAAGCCTGACGCACGCGCGATCCATTCTACCCGGCCCTCCCGTGACGTCATTCACACCGCGGAACGCCAGCCGGAACCATTGAAGAGGCGGTAGACCGGGTGGGAGTACGGTCATCTTAGGCCCGCCGCTTCCGGTAAAACTGAAGCCGGTCGGCCTGCCGGGCGGAAGTGGGAGGTAGTACCCGGGATGTGGTGCGTTCCCTCCGTGGTATAGCGGGGACGCCTTTTCTGTGGACAGTGCTATAAAGCTTTTTATTTATTTACTTACTTATTTTTTAATGTCTGTAAATCCTGGACGGAATAGATTGAGTGCCAAGACCGTGAATATTCACTGCTTTTTAAGAATGTCTTGTGTGGACGCGTGCTACAGCGAGTGTCAGGTCTCGCTCGCACCTTGTAAGTGGGTTTGGGGACTGAGCTCAGGAAACCGGCCACTGTTGTATTGTTTAACAGCGTTTTGTGTAGCTGGGGCTGTCCCGGAACGGGGCTTGTCACCCTGGTTTCCGCCGTGTTTATGCAGGAGCTGAGCTCCGGACTTTGTGCATGTTAGACAAACACGGACCGAGCTACCTCTGCAGCCCTGAGTGTTCACTCTCAGTGAGCCTGGGCGCCAGAGGTACTGCATTATACACAACAGCGACCCCATCTCAGAGTCCAGTTTGCTGATCATTTTATTTTAAGACATTCATTTTTACTTTTCATTTATCTGTTCGTGTGCGCGGGTGCCCAGGAAGCCAGAAAAGGGAGTAGGATCGCCCGAAGTTAAAAGTTGTGAAGTTAAAAGTAGTCTGCCAAATATGGGTTCTGGAAACCGAATTCAAAACTTTGGAAGAAAAGCAAACACTCCTACCCACTGAATCCTCTCTATAGCCGCACTGCTTTTTGTTGTTGTTGTTGTTGTTGTTTTGAGACGATCTCTTGCTATGTGCCCCTCAAACTTGTGACAGTCCTCCTGCCTCAGTCTCCAGAGTGCTGAGGTTAAAGTCTGTGCTACCATGCCACCAGTTAGGGGATTCAAATAAGTGAAAATACGGAGGCCAAGAGGCTCTGGTGGTGGTGTGCCCGTCCTTGGAACCAAAGTGCCACCGTTTTCATGGGTTCAACTGTGTGGTCTTGCCCAACTAGGCTTAACAGTTGACATTCCTTTATAGATTGAGGGTCTTGGGCCTGGAGTACTCAGTCACCCCTCCCAGCCAATTGTGTGCAATTCTGCCCTAATTGAATGTTGCCTCAAGGAGGTATTTAGGCTGGTAAAAACTAGGGAGGGGACTGTCATCTAGGAAGCCATAGAAGAGTTAACATCCATACTGGATGCAGAACCTCCAGCATAGCTGTTTTGTTTGTTTTGTTTTGTTTTTTTGAGACAGGGTTTCTCTGTGTAACAGTCCTGGCTGTCCTGGAACTCGATTTGTAGACCAGGCTGACCTCGAACTCAGCGAGATCCACCTGCCTCTTGCCTCTGCCTCCCGAGTGCTGGGATTAAAGGTGTGTACCCATGCTCCTGCCCATCACCGGTCACTCACTGCTCTGTAAGTAAGCCTAATAGACTCATTGGTTCCCCAGGTTGACTTTAATGGAAATGTACCCCCATTTGTCACTGGGACCTTAAGAAGGGAGTTAGATGTTGTCTTGCCCCTTTCCCCAGAGAAAAAAAAATCTCACAACAGGTAGTTAGGAAGTGTTCACATTAGAAATTAAAGCCTTTTAAACTACCAGCAATTTAACATAGATCTCTGTGAAGGAAAATCTTAAGAAAACTCTAGCCTGGAAAAACAGTTCCAATTTATGAGCAGCAGAATGAAGACCTGGACTAGAGTTTGGCTCTACCTTGCTGGTCCTTTCAGACAGAAAAGTGCCAACAGTGAGTTAAGGACAGACAGTCCATAAGGAAGACCACTTATAGGGCCTGTCAATCTAACATAGGTTCTTAGCTCGGGGGGAATCAGATACTAGAAGTTGATACAACCAGTACTCTAGCTTTACATTTTTTTCTTTCCCAAATTTATTTTATAACCCCATGGTTAGCAATGAATCTCCAGACTGGAAGACTTAGTTCATTTATTACAGCACAAATATCTGAGAACACACTGTATCAGACACCGCTGAAGACCTGGCAGTAAATTCAAGACAAACAGTCATGTAAGACATAGATGGTGAGGAATTTACACAGAACACAGTTATTTTGAAAGTTTAAGATGCTATGGGAAGATACAACCAGGGACTCAATTATGGGGAGGAGGCAAGATTTGACATTTGCCTTCCCAGTGTACCTGTAGCGGGTTCTTTTTAACTTTGAGTTAACCTAGGGTGCACATGGAGGAGGAAGAGGAGGAGCTAGGGAAAATCCTCCTCCCTTCTGAGAGGAAGGCAAGGGAGAAGATAGCTAGAGTGAAGGGAAGAGGCAGGAGACTGAGCCCTAAGAAAGGGTACCAGGGAAAGCTTACTGCAGATGATCACAGAAGATCCCTGCATGTAACACACTCTCCCAGCATTCTGCAAAAGAGGCAAGACAAGGAAGGAACTGGACTGTCTGGTTAGGACCACACAAAATCGTTCCTCCTTCTAACACACTCCTCAACTTTTCATTACAGTCACATGCTGGAAGCTCAGCCCATAGCACTTCAGAACTTATTTTTCAAAGTTCTTTACCAGTTCCTGTTATCTGGCCTTCCCTAATAACCTGTTACATTTCACAGAGGGGAAAGAAAATGGCCCCTATGCCACAGATGCCCTTACACTTTTCCTATAATGGGTTATTTTTAACTTGGAGCTCCCAGATTCCATGGAGCAGCCACACATCAAGAGTCTCTCACTTCAATCAACAAATGATGTTGACCTCACATTCCTCAAAAAAAAAAAAAAAGAAAGAAAGAAAGAAAGAAAGAAAGAAAGAAAAGAAAAGAAAAGAAAGTCCCTATGCCTTGCAAGATTCCTGATCTATAAATGTCCAACTTTTAATTTTATACCTAAATATCGCTTTTAAAAAATTTTAGTTAGTATACAAAGAGTTTTACTCTGATATTTTCATACTTTGTGAATGTGTGTACAATTACACTTTATTTTTATTCACACACACACATATCTACCCCTCTTTTTGGTTTTGGTTTTTTGAGACAGGGTTCCTCTGTGTAACAGCCCTAACTGTCCTGGAACTAGCTCTTGTAGACCAGGCTAGCCTCGAACTCACAGACATCAGCCTGCCTCTGCCTACCAAGTGCTGGGATTAAAGGCATGAGCCACCACCGTCAGGCTCTGCACTCACCTTTCTTAACTTACCCTAATTTTTCTTAGTCCTGCTTTTAACAATCTCTTGAAAGAGTTTTAAACCAAAGCTCAAGCATCCTAAGTAAAACTCACTGTCACCCAATATCAAGCTGAGCTTTGAGACTTTAAATCCATCCCAACTTTCAGTGGCTTGAAAAGCAGGAAGTGCTATTCTTCATTTAAGGTGAGCAGACTATACACATGGGCTTGGGCCATGTTACATGAAACAAACATCAGCATTCAAGAGGATTGGAACTTATAACCAGAGGTATGCTTCTGGTTTTTCATCTGAGACCTGAAATTCAAATAAGAAGATGCTGGGGCGACACTCTGTGAGACCCAACTGTGGTGCTCTACACTGCTTGTCTCCATTGCTCACAGCAAGAGACAGAAGCAGGTTTGGGCCTAGCCCAGGAGAGAACTGCTGCAGCATGAACGGTGACGAGATAAACACCTGACAACCACTAGGCTTTCCATGTCACCAGCTTCCCCTTTGATGCCCACTTTATGAGCTTCAACTCCACAGGTTGGGTGACTTTCAGACCTTGGCACCATTTCTATTTAGATATCAAACCGGTTCCTAGGCAACCAGTCAGCTCCTCTCCCTTTTACTTCCCCCAGCAGGGAACCAGCCGACTGTACTAGCAGAACAAGTCAAACAGAGTTCAATTCAAAGCAGATCAGTGCCTAAGGAACTCTGATGAAAATAAGAGGGGGCGGGTGTGTGTGATCTAAGAACAATGCAGGAAGGTCCTGTTCTGGGCAGTTTTGTCTTATACAAGTAGAGGAAAGACCTCAAGTCAAGAGTTTTAAGGCTGACTGCAATTGGACATCATCCCAAACCTTATTTATTTACAAGTGATACATCTGAAGCCCTCAATTTAAATGACCTGCCTCATGGAAGCACAGCTGTAGCTAGAACTCTGGTGTCAAAACTCCCAAATCAAATCTCCTACACCCACTGTGGAAGATCTAAAAGGAACCCCTCAGAGGGATGGCGTCTTGATAAAGAACAATTTTCAAAACTAAGAATATCTGGAAAGTCACACACCTCTAAGGATGTTAGAGAGAAAGGAGACTTAAAAAGTTGGTTAAATGTGAATAAAAAAATCCATATTTACAATATAAAAGAGAGAAAGGAGAGAAGACACACAGCAGTCAGGATCACTGGGCAGGCAGGGCAGGGGGCAGCTGCATGCTAGGGGCAGGTTGCATGGGCTGCCAGCTCTCCTGGGTTTGAAGGATTCGGTACAGCTGCTTGAGCTGGGCGACAATGTTATCTTTGATGTCTGGAGTGGAGATCTGCAGCCGAACGCTGCCACTGTCAAAGGACCGGGTGAAATCCCCAGAAAACATCTCATAGATCATCCGAGCCACCACTGGAATGACCTGTTCAGGCAAGAGCACACGAGTTTCCCCTGAAGAATGGGTACGTTTAAGTAGCAGGGGAGCCCCAACAATGATGAAGAACCAAGGCCTCTCCCCACCCAAACATCTGGGTACTAGTGAAGAGCTACAGCTTCACTAGGCAAGATTCGCCCTAGAAGCTGGTTAATCCAAGATAAGGAACCTGAATGCAGCATCATCCCACACTGCCCAGACAGACAGACTTATTACTGAGCAAATCTGTGAATCAGTGACACCCGCCACCTATCTTGGCGCCTAACTCCATGCACAGTTCAAGTAGACTTGCTACCATCCCCAGAACCTGGCTACACCTTACAAAGATGGCCAACACTTTTTATATAAGGTGATGGAAAATGTCACATCTCATAAGGTGTTAGCAAGACCCTAACGTCAGTGGGAGAGTGAAAGGCAAAGTGTCCACTAAACTGTTCACCCATGAGGGCACTAAAATAACACATGCAACCCTAATGCTCAGCCAGGACCCATCCCACATGAGGGGCTGAAGCACCGGCACAAAGAAGAGCTGCTGGCATGGTCTTATCTCACCTGAACCAAGATGAGCTTCCTCTCCGGGGGCTTCCCATCCGGCCATTCCTCCCCGAAGCACAAGTAGATCTCGAATGGTGGCTGCTTCTCTATCTGTCCTTTCTGGTGGGCAATGAGCTCTGCAGAAGATAGGAAAGCACTTCTGGATTGTTCTCTATCCATGTCAATAAAAATCATCTTCCATGCAGCCCAGTACCGTAGCCGCAAGCTACACACGGCTATTAATTTTAAGTAAGTAACTCCTTGGTCGTATCAGTCTTATTTACATGCTAGGCAGACATATGTGAACAATGGGTACCAAATTGGACAGGACAAAAATAATAACTTTTCTATCATTTCAGAGGGTTCTACTGGACATTGAGGATATAGGCTTGGGGTTCAAACCACACTGTAAATTTATATCTGAATACTTTTCCTAAATTTTGCCTCCTTAAATTAGTCACTCAGAGATTTCCTGAAGGAAGAATGTGAGCTTTGCTGAGATGGCGCACAAAGCGAACTTTCCAGAGTGAAAGTTTGGGGAGGGAGGTCCTAGCAGGACTGTTTCCTCTGACCCCGAAGGAGCCATCACCAACCTCAAAACTCCTTCCATACAGACAGCCTTGGAATGTACCTTTCTCCGTGACTCCCCAAGTTCCTGTCCTAGCTTAGAACCCAGGCTCTCCTGTTCCCTGACTTTTCCCTATGCCAGGAAAGTTTTGGAGAGGAGGGAAGAGGAAGAAGAGAAATCTCCAAGGGGCATCTCCGTGTATCAACCTTCTAAAAGCAGACTCACCACTCAGGAATGTTTCCAGACAAAACAACTTGACCTTCTTCTGCCTCTCAATCAGGTTAGGAGCAGCAAGTGAGGGGGCACACGGCCCGGACCAGTACACTTTGCACTGGCACAGCCTGATGGCATAAATGGCGTGTCCGCTGACCTCCAGGATCAGTCCCCTGTCCATGACATCCAACAGCTTACTGGTGAACAGCTTCTGCTTCTCATTAGTGATATGCTCTGGACCCGGAAACTTGACCTGCTCCAGGCTGACAGGACCAAAGAGCTCCTCCTGGTCGGGCATGGGGCCCAGGTCCCCATAGAAGAGCCGGCAGCCCTGAGGGTTGCTCACCGTCATGGTTTGCCCATACTCCTTCCCACGGTACTGAAACTTGATGTCCAAGTCAGTCACTACAAGGTGAGAGATGACAGTGAATCCTGTTGCTCTGCTTTGTCTGTCCATCCCTAACTCATGGGAGTCCACCAAGATTAAGCCATCTTTCAACCAGCTTTCAGGAAGGCCATTGTCATAATTACCCTTCCTGCAATAAAGGGAGATGTCAACATACTCCGGATTGGTCACACAAAAGGATGCCTTGCAGCAGAGCTTAAGGCCCTGCTGCACTCCCTGCTCAGCCGCCACACCCTCAGGGCTGGACTCTAACTCCATACACTGATGGTCCTGGTATTCCCAGGTCTCACCACATTCAAGATACATTGGCAATATTCGAGGGGGAATGGGTAACCACTGGCCACATGTGTCTACTGAGCACACATGTAATTAATGTGACCAAGTTTGTATTTGACATCAATTAATTTAATAATCACACACAGCTAGTGGCTACTGCATTATGCAGCATGGAAAAATGGTGTTTATTGAACAGATAGAAAATGATCATACCATCATACCTCCAGAGAATGGGCAACAGAAGGAGCTAAAAGCTAAAGAGTGTCTAGTTTGTATTTCACTTTTTTTTTCTGAGGCAGGGTCTCATGTAACCCAAACTAGACTTGAACTCACTATTTAGCAAAGAATGGCCTTGAACTCCTGATCCTTCGGCCTATAGTTCCTGAGTGCTGGGGTTACAAATGTATGTCACTTTATCTGGTTTTATTTAGTGCTGGGAATCAAAACCAGGGCTTCCTGCACCACAGGCAAGCACTTTACCAACCGGAGAAACAAGAAGAAATACCAAGCCATCCTTCTGAAAATCACGTATGTTAGTACACACCCTGAACCTGTTCTATGTGTACTATAAAAGAAGGCTCAGTGAGGAGTACATTTTCACTCAGTAAGTCTCCACTGACCCTGACAGGCCTTATCAAAGCTACTCAGCCTCTGAAAGAAGAATTTAAGTTCATGCCCCATCATGTAGAGTGTGAAAAGATGACAGGGCAATGAAGTTGATTCTTCACCAAAATAAATATGTACCTAATTCAGAAAAATCTCTAAAATCCCTCAAAATCAAGAGCCTTGGGTGACAAAGTCCCTGGCCTAGTACTTCCTTGTCTTACAGCACCTTGTCACTAAAGCCCCAAGTCAGAACAACAGTAATTGGCCTGAAGCTCTTAACAATCAGAACAGCTACATGGGCAAGAAGGGATGGGCTAGCATCTCTTTACTTCCCCAGTAAGTCATCTGACAGCCCACAAGCACACAGAGAGAGCACACACGGGTTGCCCAGGTTCTAGACACAGCAAAATGAAGGCAGAAGAGGTCTGGGGGTGCTTGCCTGCATGCAAGAGGTGAGGGGAGGTGTGGGAGGGAGAACTGTGGTTGGAATGTAAAATGAAATCAAAAAATGAAAAAAGAAGAAGCTCTAGTTTGATCCCTGGTATTTCAGGAAAAGGACAGAGAAGGAAATGGAAAGAGGAAAGACAATGTAATAAGAAATGGAGCCCCAGCAATAGAAAGCAGGTTCCCTTACTGGGGAGAGAGCTGATCCACAGCTCTGGGGAGCTGTGGAACGGCTGGATGGGTGCCTGGGGTACTTCCATCTCCAGAGGTTCTGTTTTGGTCCACACTGACTCAGGGCTGCAGTTACCCACACTGCAGTTGCCCACGCTGGCTGGAGCCATAGGAGAACCTAGAACAGAAGACAATGAATGAGCACACAGGGGCTCAACATCACCTGGTCTGAGGAGCAGAGAACAGGTAAGGTCGGTAGACAGGAGTCGCTGAACCATACCTGGTGTGATCTCCCAGCCTAGCACAGATCCCATGACCCATGACTCAGTGGCTATCACAGCTCCTGCCTCCTAGTCATTTTATTTCCCCATAAACCCATGGCTCTTTATCTGCTAAAGATCAGACGGAGACAAGGGAGTTTAGTCTGGAGATTGAATTGGAAAGGCATGACTGAAAGGTGCTCTGCGGCTTAATTTGTACACAGAGGCTGGATGGGGAGCACTGCACAGTGTGTTCACGGTGTTCAATGACTTCATAAGGGGAGCACTATACACAGTGTGTTCACAGTGACTCAATGTCTTCATAAAGGGAGCACTACCCAGTGTGTACCGGTGATTCAAGTATCATAAGGGAAGTGCCACTGACTCAGCCAAGTGGCTTCAAATGTCAATGTTACAGTCTCTGTACAACACAATGTTCTAGTAAAACAAATGCATTTTACAATCACAAGCTGTCTTAAAAAGAAGGCTAGCTAAACAGTTCAGTCGCTAAAAAACACTTGCTTCCAAGCCTGACAACCTGAGTTCAGTCCCTAGACCTAAGTGACTCCTGCTAGTAGTCCTCTGAACTCCCCGTGTGTGTGCGCGTGCGCATGCGCACACGCGCGTGTGAGTGTGTGTGTGTGTGTGTGTGTGTGTGTGTGTGTGTGTGTCCCCACACACAGTAAATAAAAAAATGTAAGAAAACATTAAAATGTCAGGGCTGGATAGATGGCTAAGTGGCTAAGAGCACTGGATGCTTTTCCAGAGGATATGGTTTCAATTCCTAGTATCCATGTATCAGCTCACAACTGTCTGTAGCTCCAGTTCTGGGGGATCCACTGCCCTCTTCTGGTCCCCGAAAACACTAGGTCCATGTGTGGTTACACAGGCATGCCATCAAAACACCAACAAACATAAAATTTAAAAATAAAAGTGAAGTTTTGAAGAAAATGCCTGGAAAGTATCAATACTTAAGAACCTAGCTAGATTTGTCTGTATTAGTGGCTCAGTGGCTGTATTAAAGGCTCAGGGACAGGATGAAGAGAAGGCCTTTCAATTGGTTACCCCCTTAAACCATTATAAATTGCAAAGCACATGAAAGTGTTATCCATTCAACCAAATCCAATCACAGCTTTTCAAGAAAGAGAATGAAAACCCTGGTCTTTGACAGGTTCAATGGTGCCCATCTGTAGTCCCCAAACCTAGGAGGCTGCCGCAGAAGGAGTGCTTGCTCCAAGCCACTCTGAACCACTTCTTAAAAGGAAACCCCAGCTGTACTTCTTGCTGCCTTCAGTGCTGGCTTGCCCAAAGCTCACAGGCTCCACCTAGGCTTCCTCTGCCCCAGCAACTCTGCCCCAGGGGCTGATGTTCTTTGACCCTTTGTTTTAAAATGAAACCGTCTTACATTTCTGCTTTTAATGTATGTTCCACCATTGTCTCAGAAGGCCTCTAGGTGGCCTCAAACATGAGGAAACACAGAATTACTCTCAAATAAGAAGTCAGGACACTGGAAATAGGCTACAGCCTTTCGAGGGATGGCAAAAGAATGAGCGAGCTAAGAATCTGGGAGAGGGCCCCACATTTCAACTCTTAAAACTTCACTAAGTGAGAACCCAGCAAGTGGTGATACTGCCTAGAAGGTCTCCGTGGAGTTTTTTCCTTTTTAGAGATTTATTTTCATTATTTTTTAATTATGTGTATATGTGTGGACACATGAGTACAGGTGTCCAATCCCCTGGAACCAAATGACTGTGAGCCACCTGAAATAGGTTCTGTCAGTCACAGATGACTGTGAGCCACCTGAAATGGGTTCTTAACTACCGAGCCATCTCTCAAGCTCCCATGAAAGTTATCTTTATCCATCACTTGTTTGCAAAGGTACAAAAGGCATTTAGGAGTAGTGGCACTCACCTTTAACCCCAGCACCGGGAGGCAGAGGCAGGTGGATCTCTGAGTTCCAGACCAGCCTGGTCTATATGACAAGTTTAGGCCAGCCAGGGAACTACATAGTACACTGTCTAAAACAAAACACACACACACACACACACACACACACACACACACACACACACAAAGAAGGAAGGGGAGCAGGATGAGCAAGGAAGGGCTGAGAACAAACACTGGCATTTCCTGGTGCTTGTGCGGAGCTAGAGTAAGTGGCACCAAACCCTAAGACAGCATCTTGGTTTACTGTGTTTCTAGGCGGCAAAAGTTATTCATCTGACCCACAGCAGGCAAACAGCATGAGATGGGCTGGTAGCCAGTCCTTCAGCTAGCATCCCCATGGGCAGACGCAGTAAGGAGGCCTCAGGAGGGCAACCCAGGGCAAGACAGGGATCCTCAGATGAGCATCTACAGACTCAGACCTTGTGGCACCCAGCAGTCCCAGCCTCTGCACTCCTGTCTCCTAGAGAGCTGAATTCAAAGGTGCACATGTGAGGGTACTGCTCCAGAAGCACCAGGAGGCTGTTTGGCAGGGTTCAGGAGGCCTCTTTACCTCTTTAAACAAAAACAAACAAACAAAAAACTGGCCTAAGCCTGGGCATACTATCCCTAACACACTGGGCTTTCTTACTTTTCCTTTAAAGTTCCTCATACTCCAGCATGTGACTGCTTGTCACCACGTGGCCGACCACCATGTTTGCTAAAAATGCCAGCTCAACTCAAAGAGCATGGCTTTCTCTCATCCTCTTCTCCATCTTCCTCCTCGTGGCAGCTGTCAGGGTGTACAGCTTGCCTGTCCAGGGAGTTTTCTTTTAAAGGTTAGTAAAGCCGTCAAAAAGCTTTCAAAATCAAAAAACCCATGAAAGAAGACTTATAGATAAACCCACCGGAGCCAAGTGCTACCAGCTAGAGTCAAGTTTTCCACGACAGGGCTTCAGCAGAGGGGATTCTGTTAAGGACATGACTCAGAATTCAAGCAAGGAAACACTGGGAGTTCAACTACAATTCATAAACGGGATTCATCACTTAACCCCGAAGCAAACTTCCCAAATTTATCATTCACTGGGAATGAATTATGCCTTTTTATTGCTTTGAATTGGATGGTCTCTAGAACCCACCCTCCTGCATTGGAGTGGCTGAGGCATCAGAGGTCTCCTACCTGTGACTCCTGCTTCCTGACACTCGGCAGGTGGGGGTGGGGGGGTAACTCACCGCTGCCCCCCACCTAGCAATGGCGGCCGATGGGTCAGTAATCCCCAGACCAAAGCCAGTTATACCCTCCTCTCCCCTCTGCACCACCGGCCACCCCACTCACCGCTGATATTCAGGAAGGGGAAGGTGTCCTGGATGGGGACGTGGTGCTGCGACTGATCGAGCTCATCTTCTTCCTCATCTTCATCCACGTCGTTATCTTTCTCATCCCAAGGAGCAGACCCTGTGGACCCTACCCATGACACAAGAGCCCAGTTTGTTTCAATGCCATCCCAACAGCTGACCCAGCACCCTGGCTACGGACACCTCAGGCTCAGTAGGCACCCACAAGCCCTAGCTGGTTCTAATTCCTTCTACAGAGTCTGAACTCAAGTTCTTATCTTGCCAAGAGGTTAAGAGCACTGCCTGTTCTTCCAGAGGTCCTGAGTTCAATTGCCAGCAACCACATGAAAGCTTACAACCATCTATAATGAGATCTGGTGCCTTCTCCTGGCATGCAGGCATACTTGCAGATAGAACACTGTATACATAATAAATACATAAATCTTAAAAAAAGAAGAAATCCCTATACTTTACAGTAGCTACACAGTAGCTTTCTACACATTAGCATCTCTTTTAAGAGCTCCATAATGCTCACTTTCCATCTTCAGAAACCACATATGAGGGAAGCACAAACCCTCCGTCATGCCAGGGCCTCACTGGACGGCATTGTGCATTGAGGATTGGGTGGCATGCTCTCAGCAGAGGAACTCTACAAACTAAACTATCATTCGCCCAACATCTATAGAGAACACAATGGCTTTTACAGATCCTCTGAAAGAGACAGAAAGATGAGAGTTTGCATCTAGAAATGGAAGAAACAGAGGCTCAAATGCCCAATAACGAAATTCAAGTCCAACAGTAGCAGAGCGATAAGAGCCAGGTCTGGAACACAAGCCCTCTAGTTATTACTCCTTCACCCTCACATCCCCAGAGAGGCTGTCCTACCAGCAGAACTGTTTGTTCTCTCATCTGCTTGAATCACTGGTTTTGGTTTGTTTGTTTTTTTTTTTCATTTATTTATTAGTTCTAGTTAGGGAACAAGCTTGTTTCACATGTAAGTCCCTTCTCCCTCTCCCCTCATCCCCATCCCTCCTCCCCCACCCCCAGCCTACCACCCACCCCATCCACCCACCACTCCCCAGGCAGGGTAGGGCCCTCAACAGGGGCTCCGCAAAGTCCACCAAACCTTCCTGTGCTGGGCCTGGGCCCTTCCCCATGGGTCCAGGGCCAGAGGGTAACCCTTCACATGGGATGGGCTCTCAAAGTCCCTTCTTGCACCAGGGAAAAATACTAATCCACCACCAGAGGCTCCCTGGAGTGCAGAGGCCTCCTTATTGACATCCATGTTCAGGGGTCTGGATCAGTCTTGTACTGGCCTCCCCGACAGCATCTGGGGTCGATGTGCTCTCCCTTGTTCAGGCCAACTGTTCCTGTGGGTTTCTCCAACCTGGCACAGACCCCTGAATCACTGGTTTTGTAACTCCCTACACTATTCCCTCTGAGAGCTCTTCCTAGGGAAAGGCCTGATCTCATCCTGTCTCTTTAAGAGCCCAATCCCAGTCTATCCAAGCCTTGGGCCTCACCTGGGTTAATGACAGAGCCCTGGGGCTGGGGGATGTCACACACTTGGTAGATCTTCACAGGATTCATGGGCACTTCCTTGGTGCCATCATACATCAAGTTGAATTCCCTGCTTTTGTTGAGAGCACAGCGGAGCTGAGCCTTCCATTTAGCCGGGTCAGGATCGTCCACCCCTTCCTGGTACTTTCCAGTCTCCACAGCCCAAGCCTGAGGAACGAGATGGTGTGGGCACTGACCACGATGGAGAGCCACTGTCCAGCATGTGTGCACCCCTCTCACATATGCATACATGCATGCACACACTTGCATACTCCTCTGTGAATGCTTTACAATCCTAACACCGATTTAGAGATTGCAGTAAAAAAATACTGCCCTTAGGACCAACCAAGGCAGGCCAAAGGGAAACCAAGCTGTATGCAAACACAGCTTTGAAAGGGGCCTTAGTTCAGGCTTTAAGACCAGCACCTGTCTAAACAATGCTGAAACTGAAGTCTGGTGCAACAATGTATAGCAGGCTTCAGGCAGATGTTTTCTCCTCTTCTATCCCCTCTTCTTCCTTCTTTTTCTCCTCCCTCCATCTGTTTTTTTTTGGGGGGGCAGTGTTTAAGACTTAATTTTTAGAGCCGGACGGTGGTGGTGCACGCCTTTAATCTCAGCACTCGGGATGCAGAGGCAGGCGGATCTCTGTGAGTTCAAAGCCAGCCTGGTCTCCAGAGCGAGTGCCGGGATAGGCTCCAACGCTACACAGAGAAACCCTGTCTCGAAAAACAAAACAAAACAAAACAAAAGACAAACAAAAAAAGACTTAATTTTTATTTATGTCTATTTGGCACATGGGTGTGTTCAGGTATGTGCAGATGCCCCCTGATGCCAGAAGAGATTGCGGGATTCCCTGGAGCTGGAGTTACAGACCATTGTGAACCACCCAGCGTGGGTGCTGGGACCTGAACTAGGGCACTCTTCAGAGCAGCACGCTCTCGTCACTACTGAGCCATCTCCCCAGCTCCTGTCTCTTTTTTTAAAAGACAAGATGGCACAGTGTAGCTCCATGCTGGACTCAGCTCTGCGGCCCCCTTCCCAAGACTCCATGGTGATGAACATGAGTAAAAGTATCTCACACAACAGTAAGTATGACGAAAGGTAATGGCAGATGACATGAAGACTTTCAGAAGCCAGGTATGGTGCTGTCTGTCTGTCTGTCTGTTTATCTGTCTGTCTGTCTGTAGTTCCAGACTTAGGAGGCCAAACACAGAAGGATAGTGAGTGAGTTCAAGGCCAGTCTGGCCTACTTATGAGACCTTGTTTCAGTAAAACAAAAGTCCTTCAGGAAACAAGCGCTGGAGTTCAGCTTGCCCCCACCGCTACCTGAAGGCTTCAAGCTTTAGAAATTCACACACATCTCTTCCCCCTTCATGGGAAACCCCATGCAATGGCCTGGTGGCAAGGCCTAAAAACCACTTGGAAGCTTCCTCTCTGTCTTCCCAACATAGGGACTCACAGTACCGCTGCAGACAAGAGGAAGGGGGTCATCTGCCCAGTGAGAAAAGGGAAAACCAAAGCCACCGAGGAACAGACCTAGTCTCTCAGGAGCGTCTCACTCCCCCTCAGGCCATGTGCCCTCTGATCACTAAGCTTTCTTCATGTTCTCAGTGCAGAAGGAAGAGACCTCATTATAGGTCTGTCCCTCTAACAAGAAGAGCACACTAACCTTTCCTAATTTTTGAATTTCATGACATTTTATTTATTTAGTGTACATAAATGGGAATTGGTTCCCTCCCTTCTATACCATTTGGGTCTTGGGGATCGAACTCAGGTCATGAGGCATAGTGTCACGTGCCTCTTGAGCCATCTTGCCAGCCCTTTCTGAACCTTTTCAAGTTGACAAGGAAGATTACTTGTCCAAACTCTTGCCACAGAGGACTTTTTCTTTTCCTTTTTGATTTTCTGAGACTGGCTCTCACTATGTTGCTCAGAATAGCCTCAAAAACTCACAGCAATCCTCCTGCCTTAGCCTCCAGGGTACTGGGATTATAGACATGCACCACCACACCAGGCACAGACTTTTTCTTAAGCTGAAACTGAACATTTGCACTCTTTTGAGATCTGTCATCTCCCTCAATTCTGCCCTGCAGAACAGCGGAGTCCAGGGTTAATCTAGGTCCTCTTCCTCTTCCAACTCAGGCTCGCTTCCTCTGGCCTACTTCTCTGATTTGGCTTCCTCTGTGTGCTTTGCAGTATAGGATGAAGAATACCAGCAACGCCGAGCTGCCCTGTGTGGCATAGCAGGCACCAGCGTGGCTGAGGCTGGTTCCATCTATCTAACTCCCAGAGGGAGTCTCAATTCCACTGTCCACAGTATCTGAGATGCACACCTGCCATTACCTGGAGTGCCTGCCTACTGTCTCCCCTGTCTTTCTGAGTCCACCCTATTCACACCAGCTCTGGCTTCACCCTATTCACACCAGATCTGGCTCCACACTATTCAAACCTGCTCTGGCTCCACCCTATTATTCACGATGGCTCTGACTCCACCCTATTATTCACACTGGCTCTGACTCCACCCTATTCACACTGGCTCTGGCTCCATTCTATTATTCACAGTGGCTCTGACTCCACCCTATTCACACTGGCTCTGGCTCTATTCTATTATTCACACTGGCTCTGACTCCACCCTATTCACACTGGCTCTGACTCCACCCTATTCACACTGGCTCTGACTCCATTCTATTATTCACACTGGCTCTGGCTCCACCCAGCTGACTCCAGCTGCAGATTCTGGAAGAAGTCTGTCCATTTCTGCCATCCCCCTAAGCCCTTCATGGCAGTGCTAGGCTAACTGTGTCCCTGCCTGGCCCCAGTTTCCAGATCACACCCAGCCATTTCCTCGTCCAGCTCATGATATAGCAGAGGGCTATACCCTTTGTAAGCACAACTTCAGCATCAAGAAGTGGGGGCCAGGAGGAAGCACCATATGGGCAGATGTCCCTGGTCACGTGAAGGCCCTCTTTGTCTTCCTAACATGGTTATTATCTCTATGTTTTCCTCTACAAATATTACAATATTCTATACAAATATTATTTTCTCTACAAACATTATAGATATTATGTCTACAAATATCTCCCCACACTTCACTTGATTTTCATGACAACTCTAAGAAGCAGACAGACTTGCTCCACTCCAGTTTGCCAAAGGGAAAGCTGGAGCCAGGAAAGGTTTCATGCTGTGCTCAAGATCTCCCACAGAGTTGGTGGTTATAGAAGTTGAGATAGGACAGTCCAGTCTCCACTCCCAGTCAGAAGTGGGGAAAGGGAACAAAGACAGAGACACAGGTTCGAATCCTGGAGCTACCATTGATTGGCTGTGTGACTGGGGGACGTTACTCAGCCCCACTGACAGCATCTATCCTAAAATATGGGGTGGGAGAAAGACTGTCCTTGCATGGTCATCATGAGACTTAAGCAACATGGAGAACACAGGCAGCTGTTCCTTGCTGGTGCTTCATGTTTGTATCTCACCAAAAGCTCATCAGAATACAGAATCTGTGACAGTATCCCCTCTCTTCTGACTACTCAGATGCTCCATCAGCATTCTACAGACAGACCCACCAATGCAAAGCTTCCTCATACCCTCTTGAGTGGAGCTTGCAGGATCAGCCTCTTCTTGTGACCAACCAGACACTTCAACAGCAAACTAGACTCAGAGCAAGGCTGCCAGGGATGCCATGGACTCAGAGCAAGGCTGCCAGGAATGCCATTGGGGTCTAGGCAAGCTCGTCCTTTCTCAGTGTCAGCTCTGCCAGCGATGGGCACTGGTCTGTAGATATTTTCTTTAACAGTTTCATAATATTCATATCTAAATTAAGTCTGTATCATCTACATACCTTCAAAATACTCTCAAGCTAATTTTCTCTCTGCCTCTGCCCTCTACGCCTGACATAGTATCGTCAAGAGCCCTGGACCCTCCTTCTCTACCTTTTCCTGATGCACCACAGTCAGAACTGGATCAAAGCCCAGCCTCCCAGCTTATAGGCAAGGAAGAAAGGACAAGCTCACTTCACATCTAGATCTGCAGGAACTAAAGCTACTCCTAAGATGGAAGGGAGAAGTTGGTTTAGAGTGGAGAGGCAGCTCCTGGAATTGCAGCCGCAATGAAACCCTTCCGTAACCCCTGCCCACCTACTTCTGTCTGAGTCAAGCTTTAGTTTCACTTAGATTTAGTAAAGTACTATGTGACTTAATCTCATCTTCAGTTAACTACAATGAGGATCGTAGGAGAATTACTTTCTATTTAAGAGAACGTAATTAGGGCTTGGGATATGTAGCTCAGTGGTAATGTGTATGCTTTGCATGTACAAAGCCCTGGGCTTGATCCTTAGGAATGAAAAAGAAAAGGTGAAAAGCAAAAACAATGAGAAGAGGACTGTGGGGAGAGAAAGGAAAGAGAGGGGAAAGGACAAAGGAAGATACTTAAAGAATACAAATAGGAGGCTGGAGAGATGGCTGGGCAGTCATGCACTGCTCTTGCAGAGGACCTGAGCTTGGTTCCCAGTACTTACATCAGGCATCTCACATCATCTGTAACTCTAGCTCCCAGGAGCCATTGCTTCTAAACACCCAGGGCACCTACACTCATATGCACATACCCACACACGGACAGTCCCACACACATAACACAGATTACCCCCCACACACATACACATAACACAGATAGTACCCCCCCCCACAACACAGACAGTACCCCACACACACACACAACACAGACAGTACACACACACAACACATAACACAGACAGTACCCACACACAGACAGTACCTCCACACACACACAACACAGACAGTACCCCCCCACACACATAACACAGATAGTACCCCCCCCCCCCACACAACACAGAAAGTCCCCCCCCCACACACATACACATAACACAGATAGTACCCCCCCCCACACACAACACAGACAGTACCACCCCCCCACACACATAACACAGACAGTAAACACACACAGCACATAATACAGACAGTACCCCCCCACACACAACACAGACAGTACCCCACACACACACCTAACACAGACAGTACCCCACACACACACCTAACACAGACAGTACCCCCCACACACACAACACAGACAGTACCCACACACACACCTAACACAGACAGTACACACACACAACACATAACACAGACAGTACCCCACACACACAATACAGACAGTACCCCTCACACACACACACACAACACAGACAGTACACCCCCCACACACACACACAACACAGACAGTACACACACACAGCACATAACACAGACAGTACCCCCCCAAACACACAACACAGACAGTACCCCCACACACACACACATAACACAGACAGTACCCCCCCACACACACACACAACACAGACAGTACCCCCACACACACACAACACAGACAGTACCCCACACACACACTTAACACAGACAGTACCCACACACAGACACACACACATAACACAGACAGTACCCCCCCACACACACACATAATTAAAAATAAAAATAAATCTTTAAAAAGGAATAAAAATTTAAATCATGCACCTTTCATTTTTAGGCAGAGGTTATTAGTGGGACAAAATATTTAAGATTGAAAGGATAACTTCCTGAGTGAAGGCCTCTGCATTATCTTATAGGCTATGTACAAGCCCAGTGGCAACCAAATCCCTGCCCTTGTGAAGTCAGCCGTCCACAGGCCCAAGTGCCTTTTTCTTCATGGCAAGAGCCCTGGGTGAGTGGGTGGTTGAGTTTAGTTCTTTTGGAGAAGTCACATCCGACATCCCCTGGGAGTTGAGCCCCCAACACACACACACACACACACACACACACACACACACACACACACACACACCAGATCCACGGGGATATGAACCGAATAACTTCCAGATGATGGGAATATAAAAGACATCATCCTCATGGACACATCTTGAGGAGAGGAATCACAACTTGGGCATCTGATTGTATGCATTCCGCTGTACCAGAATGCCAGAATAGACAAAGCAAACAGACCCAGAATGGCCTCAGAGAACTGGGATGAAATCCAACTCAGATGGCGGGAGGAAGTTCTTTACCTTAAAAATGGTGTTTTCTTCCTCTTGTTGGGGGCTGTGCCGTGTGGCATGTTTCCAGGGGATCTGGAAGCGTTTGGAGTCTCTATGTAGCCAGATGAGACCAGGGTAGAGGCCACTGTCCACCTGGGCCACCAGCCAGGGCTTCAGCCGGACTCTTCGAGGGTGGAGGGCCATGATCTAGGAGTATGGAGAATGGGAGAATGAGGTTAGCCACTGGGAACTTCCCAGCCACCGTCCCCATGTGCGGCAGCTACAGTTTCACTAGATTACAGTAAAGAAATTAAATATGGCAATAACCTGTGCCAGAGAGAGGAAAAGAAACGAGGTAAAAAAAAAAAGGTTCTTTTAATTCTTATTGCAAAGCCATTTATACTTCATGCTCCAGCCAAATCAGACTTATCAAGCCGGCAGATCGCATTTCTTCTATTTAAGTCCCTAAGCACAGTAATGAAAAGGTGATGTCACCTGTGCTGAAGCAGAGCTTCCTGGGAGGTGTGGGGGAGCCTCTGCAAAGGAAAGGTGACTGCTCTTTTCAACCTCACCTCAGAAGAGGGAAGTAAAGTTTTAGAAACAGAAAGCATATGGGCCAGAAGCTGAACGCAGAGTCTTTCCAAGAAGACAATGGAAAAACAGTGAGATGCTTCCTTGAGAGAAGCAAGTGAGGGGCGGGCCCTGGTTCCAAAGTCCTTGCTTACAAGTGCGAGCAGGCAGTCCCTGCACAGATATCTGAAGAGCTGGGCCCAGACAGCCTTCCTTTCTCTTGGCTCCCAGCAAAAGGAGTCCTAGCTGGTCTCCAGTACCCAAGGCACAGCTTGGGGACACTTCACCGAGGTGAGCCTGGTAAAGCCTTAAGAAGTCCTACAATAACCAAAGCTGTTGTCACAGCCAGGCCCTGTGCAGCCAGGCTGGCCTGACTTGGGTCTGTTTATCTCCTCATGGAGGCTGGAGGAAACCAATTGGTTCCAGGCGCCAGGCTGGGTAAAGTCTACGATTGATTCTCCTAGAAACATGGACGCCCGCAGATAACAATTCTACAACAGCCAGCACTCACAGCCCAAAACAAAGGCCTGTGGATCCAGTGCCAGAGGGAAAGTCACTAGCTAGAAAACTGTGTGCTGATGGTGTTGCATTGGGTTTTTTGGGGGATGCCATCAGGTGTGTTCGGAGTAGTATGGCCATAAACTCTTCGGGTGTTTTAGTGTCCTTGTTTTGTTTTTCCTTAAGATAGAAAGGGACACCTGGAAAAAGTAAGTCATTCCACAAATATTTGTTCACTAGCGGCCGTGCGCCAAGCACTGTGTTCATTACTAAACATCACTCAGTGTTCTCAGCCCACGTCCCTTCCTTCTTGAGGAAATCTACACTGGAACTGTAAACCCCATGATGGCCTCAAATGCTACTACTTTCTGCACTCCAGATAACCCCTATCAGGGTCACAGTTCTGAAGCAAAGCCAGTTGAGCCAGCTGAAGATTGCCTTCAGAGAAGCCTAGCCATGGGTGAACAGCTAACATCTCTTCTTTCCCTGGCTGGGTCCCCCATAAATACGACAAACTCAACCCAACTGGATTTCTGATACTTTAAGAGCAAGGTAGGACCTGAGCCTTCTGACCCAGTTAACAAGTCCTGCAACTGAAACCTTCCCCCTTGGGAGCACAGCCTGCTGGGGCAGCTGAGCAGGGCACAGGGCCTTCTAGAGCCCTTGCTCTTGATACTGGTTTGGGGTGCTTCACAGGGCGTCACGTGGAGCCATTAAACCAGAAAGCATGCAGATACCCGAGGAAAAAGGACTACAAGGCAGGAGGACTGGGGGATCAAGGCCAGACTGGGTTACATAAGACCCTGCCTCAAAAAGAAATATTTAAAAAGAATCCATACCCCAATGGCAAGTGGCCGCCTTCTCCCAGGTCCCATTACTGCTAGAAGATGAGACAAGGACAGGAGAGTCAAAACAAGGGAAGGGGCAGCAGACCTATTAACCTAGCTCTGGGTTCTGAGCAGTCACAGTGCTGTCCTGATAAGTCCTGACTCTGGGTTTGTCACACATGTGAAATCCACCTCTTGTCTGGCCATGTACTTGAAGGGCTTTTATAGTTGACTCATGGCCATCAAGGAAAAAAAAAAAAAATGAAGGCAACCAGCCCATGACAGCAACGTGCATTAGCAAGGCAAGAAGACGAGCCACCCCTGGACACTGGTGACTAAGATCAGCATCTGGATTCTCCATGTTCTCCCCAGACGGGACCACACATGTGTGGCCCCTCAGCCTGCCCTCCTCTGCCCTACTTCCTTCTCTGAAACCCTCTATGTCCTTCTAAAATTCTCATCTGAGACTCCTAAAACAGGCATGGGGGAGGATAAAAACAGCCAAGATGTCGGAGAGGAAAATGACTTATTAAACCAGATCTAGGGACTGTGAAGCCCACAACCATGACATACAGCAGTATCTCCACTCTGTAACACACACAGACAGGAACTGGGGAAGATATTGAGACACACCATGTTATATGTAGTGGTTGCCAGCACCTTGTATACTTCTCTGTATGCTTTTACATATATCATCCTCATTATGTCCCAATTCCTAATTATTTCAAAACTGCAGCAGCATTTTTTTCTATGCCACAGGACAATGACACCATCTTCTACATCAACAAGGCTCTATAATGTCACCTGTGTATTTCACCCTCAGCCCCATTTGACAGCTGAGTTAACTGAAGCACAGAGATGTTAAGTGTCCCCTACCTTACCTCTGGGTTGCACCAAACCCTGCCATTGTGCCCTGCACTCTAAGCCCCCCCCCCAACCTTCTTCAGCACATAAGAAAATCAATCTAAACCAACAAGGACCTGGTAGAGGACCCACCACAATGGGATGAAGAGATTAAAGACACCCAGTCTTAAACACACCTATATCAGACCTCTCTCTAAACCTTCATGCCACTTAGCCTGAGCCCCACCATCTCCAGATGCCACCTGAAATGAAAGCCCTGTGCCTCTGGCAGGTAGGAACCATCCAAGTGACAAAGCCACCACCCACCTTCTCACTGTGAGCAGAGAGCAGGGGCACTTTCAGGCTCCCTGGGGCACTAACTGTCCTCAGAAACATTTCATCAATTCTGCAGCCCCTGCTGAGCCAGTTTCTGGGACCACGGACCTCAGGCTGGAAGGCTGTCATGGTTTGGGCCAGTTCTCAAAGGCAGCTCTTCGGGCTGCCCTAGTTTCCTGTTCTTCCTGATGGGAAACTGAAATGCCAGCTCCGAGGATTTTAGCCATGCCTGGGAGTAAATTCTGGGCTTCTGGTCACATCCTCATATCCCTTCTCCTTGCCGGGTTGGAGTTGGTAGATGGCAGGGCCTAGTTGTAGGCCACTGTGCTGGCCTGAGTGACACGCAGATCTAACTTCACCAATCCCTGCCCAAGCAACTTCGCCGTCTCGCTTCCCTAGCTTTCATCTTGACACCCACCAAGAGAACAGGGAAGGGCTGGTAACCACTTTGCCACCAAGCAGGTTCCTGTAAAATGCTGCTGCTCAGGCCTTCCTTCCAGGCAAGTATTGAAGACTTTCCCTGCAACTCCTCCAGCCCCTTCAGGCCAGGAGGGCCTCACCCGCGGAGCTGCCACGCCTGGCGCCACCCTCCCAGTACCTAGTTTGGCTACCTGGAACTCCACCGACGTCGCCCAGGCCCAGCGTGAGAGTAGTAAGACGCTGGGAAAAAGGAAAACAAATCCACCAAAGCCCTGGGTCATCCTTATCTCAGTTTCCCCTAAACC